AAAGTATTGGAGAATATAAAAGGCTCGAACAAAACCGATTTCCAGATGGGCTTAAAAAGTATTCCCAATGTGCAAAAGTTACGCGTTTTTTCGCACCAATAAATGCGTTTCAATTATTTCATAAAATCGGTTCATCCCAAATAAATAAAATTAAAACATAAAAACAACAAAGTGCTAAAAAAAATTGTACACTTTTTAATTATATATGCTTCTGTATTAATATTCCTCATAAGTCATAGCATGTGATGCAATTGCTAAAAACATAATATTTTCCATAAAAGTGAGTTTCAAGTTGTTCTTGAATTTGTATTTTCGTAATAAAGCTAACTGGGAAAAGGCGTACTTTTTACTTACACACTTAAATATATAAAATATTTTTTTCTAATTAACTTTAAATTTTTGTTAGTATTTAAGTAATTTAAAAATAGACGTTATAAAATATCTTATAAAATGTGCTTCAATGTGGACGTGAAGTAAATAGATAGATGTTAATAATGTCGGTATTGTGATTAAATTGGTTTCAAATTTAAAAAAAGCATCAATTCAAGCATTATTATCCAAGTTTAATATAGGAACTAAACTGAAATTAAATTAACCCTCAAAGGTTTTCGTTAAACAAAGCAATCAAAATCATGTTGAATCGTAATCATTCGACAAAAGCATTTTAAATTTGAACCCACTCTCCATTACAATTAAAGACCATCGATTGAGAGTGAGCTGTACCCCATAATGCGCCCCTAATTATAACACATTGCAAATGCAATTAATTGGCGCGACAATTAGAAGTAACGAGCAGAAGAAATCATTATGGATGTTCATAAATGATAATGCAACCGAATCATTGCGAAGGGGTGCAGGAAGTGGTAAATTTCGTAACGCTTTCGAAACTTTTGTCGCCAAATGGGGCAGACAGAAAAGGATTTGGCATCCTAAACCAGGAAATATGCTTAAAACGTGGGCAGCGATTTGAAATCGTTCACTGAAACACACATACGATATAAAGGCTGGAATTCGCCGAGCACAATATATCGTGGCACAGTTGACTGGACTAATTTGTCGGAAATGACGTTTTCGGTTTTGGCCACCGGATGCCGAGGTTATGTATGCGAATTTTCGGGCACATTTTGGCAATTTTCTGGGGGGCTTTTGGGTGTTGGTTGAATGACAGGAAACCGGCAAAGGCACGAATAAATTTCAAGTCCTTGCGCGACACTTTTCCAAAATGACGCCTGCTAATTTAATTAATTTCCACCTGGCCCGTTGGCGAAAAGTTTAGTCCTGCTGCAAAAACCACCCCGTAAACCCCAAACCCATCGCCCATCAGCAATACACGTAATTGAAACATTCCTTGACCAGCGAAATAATAAAGGAGTCGCCCGAAAAAAGGAAAAAGTTACTTCTGCCGCAATTATTTGGCACGTCTCTACTAATTAATTACGCCTTTTGGCTCCACGTTCTTGGGTGGTTCACTGGTTCGGTTGTTCCCAGTTTAAAATGTCCACGTTTAATTAAATATGGCTCGGGTGCGGCGGCTCTATAATTAATTTCGGCACTGCAATTTTGTTTAAAGCAAAGAATGCGGCCCAGGAAAAAAATGTGTATGTGCCATGGAAAGCTGAAAACCGAACCGAATTAGACCAGGACATCTGCACGGATGGATCCTGCCCCCACTTCCCCACTCCATTACCAGTTTGAAAAGTACACAGAGAAAAAGTCCTATTATGCCTCACAAACAACGCTTTACTCATTAGTATTTTATGTGTTCAATGTTTTTTAAGGTTGTTAATACTATTTTTGGCTGTTCTTGTATTTTCATTTATTCTCCTAAATTATTTAGATGAAAACAGTAAATGTGTAATATTGAATTTAAAAATGTGTTAAAATTATTTTAATAAGTTCTTTACTATTTGAAAAATGTATTTAATAAACAACGATATAACCATGTCAACTAGCGCAATAAGCTATATAGACGATAATAGTTGTTTATCAAATAAATGTAACAAATACTTAAGTACTTATTAACCTACAATCGTTGTTATACTTGATACCAAATTTAATACCAAAACCATAAATAATTTGATGTTTTAAAAATTTTTCTTCTTAGAACTTTTTTTTAGTTTAAAGCTGTTATCAATATGGTTTTATTTTGATTCTCTTCAATAAATAACAATATTGTTCATATTTTTAATTGCGAACATACATGTTTCACTTTAATCGGCCTATTTATAAATCTTAATGAATCGCCAACTAAAAGAAATAAATATTTATGTATAACTACAGATAATTGTTGATTTATTACAGATTTTCACTCATATTTTCACATTATTGTTCCGATAAATGATGTTAAAGCTTTGACCTTAGGAATATGAATGTGGGTTAATGTCTCTGTAGAATTATTTATACATATATACATTTTGTTCATATCTTCAACTGGATTGTTTTGTTATTTTATAAATCATCATTTTTTTTGTCGGTGCGGATTCGAAATCAGAATCAGAGAATGAGTCGGTGGCCAGGGCATTAAAGTGTCAATATCCATTAGGCAGTCCTGATTGTTTAAGCTGCTTTACGCCAACTTCTTTCTGGCTTTCTTTCTCTTTCTCCTTCTCCGTCCGGGCCCAAGTTTCTTGACACGCTCTCTCTTTCTTTCTCCGGCTCTTTTGTCTCCGGAGTCCTTTATTGCCTGCAAAGCCGAGCACAATGACTCCTTCTCCGCTATTTGTTCTGGCTGCTGTTGGGCTCATTGTTTCAAATAAGAAATGACGCGAATTGGCTAGAGCGAAATGGTTAGAAATGCAAATTAGCGAAAGATAAGAGGGGTGTTCGAGGGGCGGGGTCGAGGGAAATGGCCATTGCGAAAGCCCGAATGCCCTATGGCCATAAGTTGGGCTACCATAACAGGGGTACAATAGAAAGGGCTATGAACTTATCAGACTGAGAAGCCAAGGGAAAAACAAGATCTAAAAATAGGCCAAAATGCTTAAAGAAATTGAATTTATAATCAATAATTTTTTAAACTTAACAACAACTAATTAAAGCTGTTTATGACTACAAACGTATTTTTCTACTACTTTGCTACTACTATTTTACTTATAATTACAATTTAATTTACTATTGAAATGAAATTACCAAAATAATTCATAATCTTTAAAAACGTTTTTCGGGGTGATTTTCTAGGTTATGTAATTAAAAACCCAACTGTTGAATTGAATTAAAAATTAGTCACATTGTTAATTCAGGTTGTAAGCCTTATATTTTTCTACTTTATGGCACATTCTCCATCTTATACTCTTCCCAATCCATTTACTCCAATTTAGAAAGTAAAAAAGTGTAAAATTACCGCTAGCTAATCTTTGTCATCTGCTGCCTTGCCTGATTTTACAGATTTCTGTTCAGGTAATTGCAAAAAAAGGTCAAGCCAGCAGAAGGGAAACAAAGGAAACTAGAGAGTGCCAAAGAAAATGAGACAGCTTTAGGGACTTGAGCTTAATTGGTAATTACACAAAGTCGCGGTATGTTCTACACCTACATACAATTACTCGCGACCGTGCATAGATTTTGGGTTCATGGACCCTATTCTCGGGTTTCTGCCTCAATCAGTCAAGCGGCAAGCCATTTGGTGATTTATATTTAAGCGAAAACTTTTAACTCTAACCAAAATCCCCTGGGATAACCCACGGTCTCCTATTATTCTTGCTTTTGCATGGGTTGAGGGTTGGGGCTACAACCCCTAAAAGCTAACCATTGGATGCGTGGGCTGTCGAAACTTGTGGTTCCTTTCAATTAACCTTTCATCTGTTTAACATGTATTATAAAATTAGACGCGGTCGCCTGTGGTCCACAGCAGCAGCAGTGGGTTAAGGTGGCGGCTCAAGGGTACTGGTGCCGCCGGTGGGTTGCCTTCGCCTGCCTAATGTATGCGCAACCACAGCCCCAAGACATGACAACACTATTAAACATTATTCGTGGCCGTTGGAAAGGGTGGCCAGACGGAGGCCTTAATTATCGCCGGGCCAACGCGACGTATGCGTAATCAATGGGGAAAAGCTACAGCTAATGAAGGGGAAAACCAAAAAAACTCTTAACTTAAAATTGTTCTTTAAATTCGATTGGATTTAAGATAAAGTTTGACTAAAACTACATATAAACCAAAAGTGTTTGGTTTTTGTCATTGCCATTAATGTATTCCAAATTCATATACTATAAGAGAGTATAGGCAGGTTTAAACTTTTCTTTACTAGAAAAAATGTTCTTTCGATTTGTAACTTCTTAATGCATGAGTAATATAGTCGGTAAAATTATACTGCAATCCATTCAAATATTATCAGCATCAACTTTTCTCAAATTTCTGTTATTCTGAATAACTAAAAGTTATTTAACTCTTATCAGAGGAAAAACCTAAAAAAAAATATATATAAATATTATAAGGTCGAATAATTCTCTTTCACTGTAGTATACAGTGGTCGAAAATTCAAATGAGATGACCAAAAATTCTCAGACATATTTAAAAACAAGATAAGAAGAGGAATTTAGCAGCCCGAAGCTTATATACCCTTGCAGCTATAACAAAAATGTAATATACTATATATCGATTTGTATGGGTATATGGAAGGTATATTAATTAAAATTAAGACCCTTTAAATTATATATATTCTAGATCAGGATCAATACTCGAGTCGTATAGCAGTAAAACCTCAAAATTCCGGAAACTACAAAAGCTAGACACTGGAGATTTAGCCTGCAGATAAATTAGATTGTATGTATGAATATTACATATTATAGCCATATTTTTTGACAGCAGCATTTTAATTGATTTTTGAGTGGTGTTTCGGTATTTAAATGTGCTTACATTGCAAGGCACTTAAAATGGTAAATAAATAGCTCATAGCAAAGTAATTTAACGGTTTAAAGGTATAAAGTAAAGTAAAGTAAACTCTCTGCGATGTAGAAACTTATTCCGATGACGATTGCTATTAATCGAACATATGATTGGCCAACCCATTGCGGCTGTCTGGCAACGCTAATTGCAACACGTCACCTGCTCGGCGAAAAAGATGTAATTTTTATTGTTTACGTTTCCAACTCGTGTTTTTGTGTGTTATTTGTGTACAAGATGAAGTTCGCCGATGTGCTGCGTCGCTTAGACGCCTATCCGCGCACCCTGGACGATTTTAGCGTGCGCACAGTGGGCGGAGCAGCTGGTGAGTGCAGGTGTAAAATGCATTGTTCCGATAAGAATCCCAAACAACCGGCTTTTTCCCGATTTTCAGTTACAATCATCAGCACCAGCATTATCAGTCTGCTGATCTTCTTGGAGTTCCTAAACTACATGCGACCCAACCTAAATGAAGAACTTTTTGTTGACACAACGAGGGGTCAAAAGTTGAGAATCAATCTGGACGTGACCCTGCATAATTTGGCCTGCAATTATATTTCTCTGGATGCGATGGACTCATCGGGGGACACCCACTTAAGGGTCGACCACGACGTTTTCAAGCACCGATTGGACCTTAAGGGGAACCCCTCAAGGAAACGCCCATCAAGGAGATCGTGGCAGTGTCGCCGCCCAATAAGAACGTCACCTGCGGCAGTTGCTACGGCGCGGAGCACAATGGCACCCAGTAAGTGAAATTTTGCTGAAAACTTTCCCCCAAAATTTTTTTTTTAAAAATTTAAACTTTATAACCAGAATTTTTCTGTTACTCAGGTTAGCTGTGATAACATTTACATTTGCAGTAATAATATAAATATATTCAAATACTATTAGTTGTATCTAAACACATTAACCTTGAAATTTAGTTTAATATCTCAAATTTGGAACTTCACTATTACAAATTTTGGCTGAGAGTTCGTTTATATTGAAATCAATAAGGTATTTTGAATTAAATCTCGCTTTTACAGCTTCAACTTTTGTAGTTCAATTTCAATAGAAGTCTCCAGTTATTTTTGCCCATAATTCAAGCTTATAACTTGCAAAACAATCCATTTGAATAAGCAATTTCCTAGATCTAGTGATTAGAAAAAAAGTTCAGCTCACCTCAAATAACAGTTTTTGTAATTATCGCTTTGAACATGACCTAGAATACATTTGTTAAACAAATTTTCCATACTATAACGGACAATCAATATAATAATAATAATAATATAAGCACGTTTTATTTGTAATTGTTAGAATCTCACTAAGACCTAGCTAAAACGATGCTTATTTGTATTCATTTAAACTTTTAAGACTCTATTTCAGAACTAAACCTCTCTTTGCTTCAGTAAACCCTTTAATTTCTAGTTATACTACTTTTCCCCACTGTAATCCCCTTTTTAACACTAATATCCCTATACTCCAGCTGCTGCAACACGTGCGAGGAGGTACTCGATGCCTACCGGCTGCGCAAGTGGAACGTCCAAGTGGACAAAATCGAGCAGTGCAAGGGCAAGTACAAGCGCAGCGACGAGGACGCCTTTAAGGAGGGCTGTCGCATCCAGGGCCACCTGGAGGTGAACCGCATGGCCGGCAGCTTCCACTTTGCGCCCGGCAAGAGTTTCTCCATCCGCCAGTTTCATATCCACGACTTCCAGTTCAGCAATGTGAAGCTATCGCACACAATCAATCACCTGTCCTTTGGCGAAAAGATAGAGTTCGCCAAGACGCATCCTTTGGATGGTCTGCGAGTGGACGTGACAGGTGAGTAAACACACAAAGCCCATAAGGTATCTCTTTAACATCTCTATTGCAATAACTTAACGTAATTTAAACAAGATTGGAGTAGGGCTTAAGGTTTGGTTTTTAGTAACTCTAGTCAAATGCAGTAGTATCAGCAGCGAATCCCAGTGCCGATGGCCATAAAGGTCCCGAAGGTTCCGCCGCCCTGGACCATGGTCTTGCCCACATTGTTGATCAGCTCCCGTCCACGTAGTCCGTATCTGAAGTGAGATTTGTTATGGTTCATTAGTTAGCCGGTGTAATTACATAATGCCCGGCCTCTACTTGCGTCACTCCAATGAAGGAGTGGTGATTAGACCATCCGGGTGCAAAGTCCAACCCACCTGAGTGCCGAGAATCCACCGAAGACCGCTCCGCTCGCCATTCCCACACAGAATCCGATGATGAAGCCCGTCTTCATCTTATCGAAGCATGTGGGTCCCTGTTGGGAAAAAGAGCTCGTGGGCAGTGGCATGCCGCAAGGTCCTTGGTTCCTCTCGTTCTCCTGCTTTATAAATGGATCCTGCCAATTAGCAAGCTTCGCTGCTCCGGTTCACGTCCGAACGTTACAATAGGTGCCTAAAGGTCCGTTTATTTTAGGAATTACTCTATTTCGGCACAATTCGTCGAGCGGTCATGAATGTGAGAATGTTATATTGTGTGCGTGAGCTGTCAAATGAGCAAAAGGTTGCCACGTTGTTTTTCAGTCAACTTGGCTGGTTCTACGCATAAAGGACAGGTGGCGCTAACTAAGAGCGGGCATTTTTAAATTACCATATTTTAAACTTACTATTTTTATTATTAAAAAAAATGTTCCTTGGATATTCAAATAAATTCAACCCCCATGAATATTTTTTTTTTTTTTATAATATGGACAACGATTTCAAATCCTAAGAACAGATTTTAGCCAGTTATAAAGAAAAAATAGGAATTTTAGTTGTTTTAAAACATTTAAAAGCTAATCCACAAAATAATTAAAAGGGTTTTTTGTTTGCCTAATTTTAATAATGAAAAATTATTACCACGTCTTTATTGCAAAGAAAAATGTTTCGATAGACTTGCAAGAAGAACTATTAAGATCAAATCCTGTAAAAGCGACAACAAAACTGTTAACAAGTTATATACATATATAAAATAAAAATGTTTCTAATAAGGTTTTAAAATTTGATTATTATTTTACCAAAGCTAAGTAATGTATAATCAGCAAGTTATTTAATTGTTAAATAGTTTTCTAAGGCAAACAGCAAACATAAAACGTGATATTTTTAAAAATTGTTAATGTCAACTCTGATCTTTTTTAAAATACTAATATTTTACATAAATCCCATTAAACCAAATTCTCAATTTTTATTGTTGCAGAGACTAAAAGTGAAATGTTTAATTATTATTTAAAAATTGTACCTACTTTATATATGCGAGGCAGTGAGCCCATATACACGAATCAGTTCTCGGTGACGCGATATCGCAAAGATCTTTCGGATCGCGAGCGCGGAATGCCGGGCATATTCTTCAGCTACGAACTCTCGCCGTTGATGGTGAAATATGCGGAGAAGCACAAGTCAGTTAAACAGTGCTTATATTTAATTACAATATTTATTGAATCCATTTTGTACTCCCAGCTCCTTTGGCCACTTCGCCACGAACTGCTGTTCCATCATTGGAGGCGTCTTCACGGTGGCCGGCATTCTGGCCGTGCTGCTGAACAACTCCTGGGAGGCCATTCAACGTAAACTGGAGGTGGGAAAGCTCAGCTAACAACAATTTGAATCTCTTCTGCGGCTTCCTTGCAGCTTTACTACGCCTAACTCATTATACATTCGACAAATCTCCAAATAAAAGTGCTTAATTTTATAGAAAGTGGATTGAGACTCTGCCTTATGTGGTTCTCTGTCCCACGGAGAGGAATCCGGATGTGTTTGAAAAGTATTTGGCATTGGCTTCCGTCTGCGAACGTTCCGCTGCCTGGGGATTTACAATCTCCAGGCCTTGCAGTGGCGTAAAAGCCACACTAGATGCTGTTCCTGAGATTTGCCGCTTGACTGTGGTGTTTCCTCCGTACACTTGCTGCTTCTGGAGGTTCTTGTGCAGCGTCTTACTAATGCGTACTTTGGTCTTCTCATCCACCTGGGGCAAACGAATGCGCCCGGTGCCTGTCTTGCCGATGGTTCCACGGGAGTAGCCCAAATCCCCTTGGTAGGCATCCTCTTCGATCTATAAGGGAAGTGGAATGATTGCGAATTAGTTGGTAAACGATTATAAGTAGAAATTTCCACTTACATCTCCGAAATTCATGCGGTTTGCCTGCTTGCGGAACTCTGTCAAGGCATATCGCTCCTTCATCTTGCGCACGCGTTTGCCTCCTCGCTTCTTCTTGCTTCCCTCGATGGGTTTGGGCAACGGCTTGATAAACTTCACCGGCGGCGGCTCCTGCAACTTGTCAAGCTTCTTTTCCACATCTTCCTTGAATCGCAGACCGATCTCCCCGTGCACACTCTCATGGCAGGCATCCACACGAGCAGCTAACACTGATTTGGCGGCAACCAAACGAGCTGCCTTGCGTCGCAAATCTGGTGCTGTATCCTGGACAATCTGAGAGTAATAAACGTAGCCAGTGTGTGGCAACATCTGCGTCTGCGAGAAACCCGACAAGGTTTTCTTTTGTGAACCCAAAACTTGTACATTACAGGCGGGCATTTTGGAAAGCTTAGAGAGGCCACCAGCGATGCCCAAGAGTTTGGCAGCTGTGGATGCTCCGACAATCATGGAAAGGTTGGGGGCTATGAAAGTCATGCGACTTTCTACATATTCGTAGATTTTAGATTTGAAGTTGTTCAGCTCGATGGCCATCTCGCAGGCCTCATCGATCTTGGCCTTTTCCGCAGGCGTAAGCATGGTGCTACGAAAGGAATAGGATTTAAGTTTTTATGGGATTGTAAAGGATGCCAACTCACCCTTGTGTGGTTGATGCCGTGACGGACACAATCATAATGGTGGCCTGTGTGAGTATTGCCTGCAGCTTCTCGTTGCTTTTGACCTGGTCCAAGTCATTGCCTAGCTCTTTGACCGCCAGCAAGTACTCAATTTCGCCCACAATCAAAGAGTCCAGCTCAGGGAATCGCTTCTGGTACTTCTCCTTGGTGAACTTGTGAACGATGGAGATCTCATTGTCGATGTCGACGGCAATGGCATTTGCATCCACGATGAGGCAGTACTCCGGATCGGATTCCACAGATCCCAGCATTTCGGCTGCGGTTCTCTGACGACTGGCATAGTGCTCGATCTGCTGCAGGGTATTCCGCAGGCGATCCGAGTCTCGCAGCTTGCAAAGTTCCCGCACCGATTGCACAGTCACATCCACTTCCATCAGATTCGGAGCAGGCTTGGCCAACTTCTCCGCCAGCAACTGTGGGAGGGGAATCCTTTGGTAAAAGAAAGATTCTCTCGATTTGGTGACTTACACTTTCGTCCTCTGCACTGGCCATCTCTGCATCATCCTCCTCCAGCTCATTGTCGTTGTCCTCCTCGAGGTCGGCTAATAGCTCGTCTGCCAGCGACATTTTGTGTTATTTTCAAGTTTATTTACTAAAACTAGTGAAATTTTTTTTTATTTTCCTGCGTGCTGGAAATAGTGTGACCGCAACGTGACCGCTTAAATACACCAAAAGGCTAACACAAAATAAATGCCGAAATATACCGAAAACAAATTATACAGCTATGTTCACAATAATGGTAAAGGAGCAGAATTAAAAATGATCTTAGCATGTGAACTAAAAAACATAAAAGAAAGAAAGAAAATGATATTTTCGTCCGAAGTTTTAAAACTAAGCCCAAAGAAATTTTAAGTAAGTTTTTACCGATTTTACTCAGCAAATTTAAAAACTTTTACAATTTACCTTTACAATATTAGGTGTTCTATCCTCATGGATACCGTTGTAACTTTAAAAATTACCCGTTTTCTATCTGCAGTCTGGCATACCACTTTTCTTGTGTTCAAGATCTGGCAGCCTTCCAACTTTTTGGCGCATAATCTCGGCGTCTTCATCCTGGTTTTTGCGCATTTTGGCAATCATTTCTTATTCAGAATCATGTCCAAGAAGTTGAACACAAGTGTGGGCGGAACGCCTACGAATACGTTGTTTAATTATTTCGCCAAATCGCCAGCTGTCGACAAGAAGAAACTGACACCTAGCGTGAAAACAGAATCAGACACCACAGAAAAGGAGAATCTCAACAACCAGCAGCCAAAGGAATCCCAAACGAAGGATTCCAAACCATCGGCCAAGAGAAAGCTGCCCATTTCCGGCGGCTCAGACGATGAAAAGACCAATGGCCAGCGCAAGCGGAAGCGCATCGTTCAGCCTGAAACCGACAGCGAACCGGAAATGGAGGAGACCAAGTCGGAGGACGACTTCTCCGATTGCGCGTCGGAATACGAACCAGATGCCAATGAAGGCAGCGACGATAGCGCCAGCAGCGGCGAGGAAGAGGTAGAGCCCAGCGAGAATGACATGTCCGTGGATAGCGTGGATAGTCCTACGCCCAAGAAATCCCGCAAAAAGTCCAAGATCCTCAACAACAACAACAATGAACCCTCGAGCAAGAAGGTCAAGTTAGAGTCATCTACTCAGCTGGCTGAGGGTTCAACTTTCCAGGAGAAATTAAAGAATCTGCAGAGCAATGCCAAGAAGGACGCATCTTATGATGATATAGTGACCACAACCTCCACTCTGGATGAGCCTGTGGTGTGGCCACACCAGAAACTGGAGTTCCTGCAGCCGGACAAGATCAAGGACAATGCGGGTCGGCGGCCAGATCACCCAGACTACGATAAGAGCACCCTGCACGTACCGGAGAAATTTCTTAATGGCTTATCTCCAGGAGTTCGCCAGTGGTGGGTCCTCAAATCAAAAAGCTACGACTGCGTTTTGTTCTTCAAGGTGGGAAAGTTCTATGAACTTTATCACATGGACGCGGATGTGGGTGTCAAGGAGCTGGGCTTTACATACATGCGCGGTGAGTTTGCGCACTCGGGATTCCCGGAGATATCCTTCGACAAAATGTCCACTATCCTCGTAGACAGGGGCTTTAAGGTGAGCTTTTTTTAGGGAAGTTATTTTGCGCAGTAAATCTTATCACAGATTATCCTCCAGGTGGCTCGCGTGGAGCAAACAGAAACCCCAGACATGATGACCGAACGTTGCAAGCAGATCAAAGGCTTCCAAGTTTGATAAAGTGGTGGCCCGAGAGATCTGCCAGATCACCAATCGTGGCACCCAGGTCTTTGGCTCACAGTGCAAGATCGGACCCAATCATCAGCCCAACTATATGTTGGCCTTGGTCGAGCAGGACGAGGGCACTTGGAGTCGGTTTGGCGTGTGTTTCATCGACACGTCCATTGGCGATTTCCATTTGGGCGAGTTTGAGGACGACAAGAACTGCTCCCGACTGCTCACCCTGCTTTCACATCATATGCCCGTGCTGGTAAATTATTTTATGCATTCATTACGGGGTTAACAACTAATGCCTTTTCACTACTCAGCTCATAAACGAGAAATCCGCTTTAAGCCAGCGTTCCCAGCAAATTGTACGCACTGTACTGGGGGGAATCCTTAAGGAGCAGACGCCCAGTAATGGGTCGCAAGCTTGCAACGCAGAAAAGACCCTGAAACTGTTGGCGGAACGCTACTATGCAGGAAACGGTTCCGATGACAACTGGCCATTGGTTCTGCGAACCATGCAATCCGATTCGGATCATTTGGGACTTACACCCAACGATAACTACAAGCTGGCCTTAAAAGCCCTTGGCCAATGCATCTTCTTCATCCACAAATGCAAGTTGGAGCCCAAGGTGCTGCCCATGGCACGTTACCAACTTTATGTGCCACCCGATCAACTAGCAGATGCCAAACCGGCTGCAGCGTCCACATTGAGACGTTCCCACATGGTGTTGGATGCCACTACCTTGTCGAATCTGAGAATTATTGGCGAGGATCACACTTTGCTCTCCTCATTGGACCACTGCTGCACCAAGTTTGGAAAGCGACTACTCCACCACTGGCTATGTGCTCCGAGCTGCGATGTGGTCGTCATCAAGGAGCGGCAAGAAGCCATTGGTGAACTGATTCGGATGCCCAGCGAACTGCAGGAAATGCGTGCTTTACTCGGACCCATGCCTGATTTTGAGCGAAATCTAGCGCAGATTCACCTGTTTGGCAACAAGCAAATTAAGCTGATGGATCATCCCGACTCCCGGGCCATTCTTTTCGAGGAGAAGATATACAACAAGCAGAAACTACTGGGCTTCATGGCCGTTCTTAAGGGATTTAATGCTCTAACCAAACTTCCTACGATGTTCCATCAGTGTGAAACAGCTTTGCTTAAAAGGATTACCCAGCTGCCAGAATCTGGAGGATCATTTCCTGATCTTACCAAGGAGCTGAAATACTTTGAGACTGCTTTTGATCATGACGCAGCGGCCAAAACGGGAGTTATTGCTCCTCAAGCAGGAATGGATGCTGAGTACGATTCGGCGATGGATTCTATAAACGAGATCGAGGAACGCCTAAAGACCTATCTTGTGGAGCAGGAGCGACACTTTGGCTGTCGAATTACCTATTTTGGAAGCGACAAGAAACGTTATCAGTTGGATGTCCCTGAAAGCCACGCCGTCAAGGCCAATAAGTCCTATTCGTTGGAGGGACAGACCAAGGGCAAGAAACCCTCACGTCGCTACACCACCGCGGAAACTCGAGCTCTGCTTAAGGATATGCAGCAGGCAGAAGACACAAGGAATATGGTTCTTAAGGACTTGGCGCGCCGCCTCTTCGAGAAGTTCTCCAATCATTATGAGCAGTGGAAGCAGTGCATCGACTGTGTGGCCAACCTGGATGTCCTTGGCTCCCTGGCGGAGTATGCAGGTCAACAGATGGTCATCTGTGTGCCAGAGCTGGTCTCTGGAGTGGAGCAGCCGTTCATACAGCTGGAGGAGGGCTACCATCCCTGTGTCAACGCATCCACCTACATTCCTAATGGCTTGGAATTGGGTACAAACTCGGAGGCACCGCTATCCCTGCTTACAGGTCCAAATATGGGCGGCAAGAGCACCCTCATGAGGGAACTAGGACTGCTTGTGATCATGGCGCAAATTGTAAGTATAGTTTGAATATCTCTTAAAGATGGTTTAAGTTATGAATTCCATTTTAGGGTGCCCACATTCCCGCTGCAAGCTGCCGCCTTTCATTGGTTGACAGAATTTTCACGCGTCTAGGTGCCCAAGATGATATTCTTGCCGGGCACAGTACCTTCCTCGTGGAGCTAAACGAAACCTCCCTTATTCTCAAGCACGCCACATGCCATTCGCTTGTGTTGCTTGACGAATTGGGCAGGGGAACCGCCACCTATGATGGCACAGCCATTGCGGCCTCTGTGGTCAACTTCCTGGCGAATCTCAAGTGTCGCACTTTGTTCTCTACGCACTACCACAATCTGATTGACTTCTTCCATAACGACAAGAGGATAACCCTGGGCCACATGGCGTGCATGGTGGAGAATGAGGACAACGCGGATCCAACCCAAGAAACAGTTACGTTCCTATACAAGTACACAGCAGGGGCTTGTCCGAAATCTTATGGTTTCAATGCTGCCAAGCTAGCTGGAATGCCCCAAGGAATTATCAAGCGGGCCTACGAGGTGGGTGCTTTTTGTCTTTCATCATAAAAACTAGTTTAAAGAATCGTTTTTTTTTTGTAGCTTTCCAAGAAAGTCGAAGCCATTGCTCTGCAGCGCAAAATTACAGCAAAGATTGTAGCTGCAACCGCAGGAAAAGAAGATTCCAAGAAGGAGAAATTAGATGCTCTAAAGGATTTACTAAAGCAGCTAAAAATGTGCCATGTTTAAAGTTCTGGATTCTATATTTGAGGCTATCATATATTTATGGAGACATGCTAACAATTTCGGATATGTGTAGTTGTAATTCGTTATAGGGCAGCTCTGCTGTTCCTTGCAGTATACGTTGTTTTCTAAGCATTTTTCAGTATTTCAATATGTATAATTTTTTTTAAACCATCTATCTTAAGTTCTCTGAATTATTACATGTGTCAGGCCCAATAAATCTACACCAAGTGAAAACATTTTAAATTGTTTGCCATTAGTTGCCACTGTTTAATTTTTGTTTATTATAATTATTATTATTTGTATCACAGTAAAAATTAAAATTGAAACAAGTTCACAATCAAAATACACACACAGATGATATTATTCAATACTTATAAATTAAATGTTACACAATAAATACAAATATTGCTAAAATTTGTCAAAACACACATATGCGCTGTTTGAATTGAAATAATACGCCATATGTTATTTTGTGAAAAATAGGAATGCAGATTGTATTTGTATTAGATCAGATATATATATTAGCTTGTGCGAATTTGTTATAGAGTAAGTAGTTAAGTCAACAGGCTGGGAAACCTTTTTAAGTAGCTCTATACAGCTAACATTTCAACTAAAAGCCAAGATAGATAAGATCTAAGACCGAAAAGGAAATTTTAAAATGAAAACACGCTCTATTAACAGGCAACATATTTGAGGACAATCCATCAGCTGCTGGTTGCTTACAAAAAACACTTACAAAAGAACTAAGCTAATTAGCTCTTATCATAGCAGTTTAGCCATATAATGTCGAACTACTTTAACTTGCTTGCCTCTCTTTATCTTGTTATGGTCTATTTTGGACTTGCTTTTAGTTTAAACAACTATATAAATTACCGAACTATGTATACATATCATTTGTATACCCATAAATAACTAGGCTAGGTTACTAGGTTCTCTTATGCATCTGGTATTGTATATGTTACAACGATCAGCACGGGGATCTTTTAGTCTATGGGCCAGTGCTTAAACGCTCCTTACCTCCTCGCCTTCTCGGTTTGATTTGATTAACCCGGCTACGCAAGTTGTGAGCTTTGGTTTACTTACTAACTAACTACAAAAAACATTTACGTAAAACTCCGGCAAAAACGAAGCGACTCTTTACACATGGATAGCGAAGGATGGGTCGTTTGTTTTGAGAAAACAAAATTTGAATAATTGAATTAAAATTACTAAGTCAAATTTGTTAGCCTTGACGACTAAAACTAATTATTGGAGATCTTAGAAGAAGAACTAAAATTAATACTACAGACTTTAATAATAAATATTTGGCCATTATTCATTGCTCTTCTCTTTTCGTACTTAAAGTTTTAAAACAAGTCTTTGGGGTAAGGGTAATTTTTTTAAAGACGGCATATTGCACTAATTTGTATTTCTCGAAGCAAAATGGACCCATCCTGTGGATAGTGATAGTGAAAGTGGAGATGGTGATACCTACAAAACAACTTTTCAGAAGCGAATGACTCACTAAAATGCCTGGTGCTGACTTCTGATCTACGCCATGCCCATGCCCACGATCTGGATCGCTTCGAGCACTTGGACTCAGTCGTCGCTGGAGTCGCTGATAATGTCCTTGCGTGCCTTAAAGTTCCGCCAGGATCTCGTGGTGCAGACTCCGGGTCCCCGCCACCAGTCGTTGAGATCCGAGTACCACCGGGGTTTCCGCAGCTGCTCCTCGTTGTGCAGGGTGGCACACACCCGACACCAGTAGTACGTGTTGATGAACTCCCCGGTGCCCTTCCACTTGAAGTACGAGTTGTACAGCTCGTCGTCGCGATCCAGGATGTGCAGATACTCCGCCAACTCCTTCGGCGAGGCGAACTCGTCCACGTGAATGTAGGATCGTCGCGGGGCACTCACCTCGTAATCCTCGGGACGGGCACCCATCACAATGGGCAGGACCCTGCGGTTCAGTGCGTTCACAAAGAACTTCTCCGTGATGTAGTCCTTGCAGTTGGAGTTCTCGAACGCCAGGTAGAATTTATAGTCGTTGTCGAGGATCTCGAAACACTTGTCCGCCGTACTCCGTGAACACTTGAAATTGCCACACGCCCCGTAGATGTCAACCTGGTGGGTGGAATTTATGGAGATTATTTAGTTGAAAAGGGATAAAGTTTATTGGAATACCAATTTAATAATTATATATATATTACAAAACACATTTATGTTCCATTTTTAAGTTGTTTAGAGTTTCTTTAACAAGTGAAAAAACTTAAAAGAATTGAATGGCAATCTATGCACAAAAGTATCATTCAAATTTATAGAACGTAATTTGGATTTTAATTACAACAATTAGCAATATATATGCATTAACCACATCATCTAAATATGATTGATAATTTCGTGTATAGACTTACAGTTTTATTTGCATAAGTATAATTGATTAACTCGAATATGTTCAATACTGACTAGAATAATATGTCGGATCATCCTTACCTCGATGTGCTTTTGCAGCTGATGGGCGTACTGGAGACGGCCATTCCTAGCCCCACAGTTGGAAACAAACCAAGCCACCTTCTTGGTCTTGTTGACGGAGTAGTTTATGTCTTGCTCCAGCTGCTGCACCTTTGTATCGTAGTACTGCCATTTTTCATACGGCGCAACAATAGTACTGTCCCGCCTGCAAAAAAAAAGGAAACAAGGTTAATATTCTACACAAAACAAATTTTTAATTAGCCTATCGATAGCCTTAGCACTCGTGTTATTATTTGGATTCCTGTTTGGTGGAATCAAACTTTAAGAATTGTAAAAATGTTTTTTCAAACTTTAAGAAGTTTCAATAATGTTCTTTCTCTACAAATTTATATACAAAATTCTTCGAAGTACAATCTTAGAAGTTTCATTATAGCAAATCTGATTGGGTTATACAGATGTTAAAATCAAAGCTAAATCTAGGAAACTGCTTAAATTATAATATAATCACTACAACATATTTGGCTTTTTAAATTTTTTGATGATTTTTAGGTTTTTTTTTTTTAATTGAGACTTACCTGTAAGTGGCCGTCCAGTTGATGGCATCGGGCACCTTGACGTTCTGCGTGTGGTACGGGCACTCCAGATAGTAGAGCATGGTGACCTGCTTGGAGTTGCTGGGCCGCCGAATGCCCGTGGGGATGTAGTGATCCTTGTAGAGGACCATGTCGGCCGAGCTGGCCAGATCGCGATTGGCAGTCAGTTCGCAGGTGTCCACGGGACACTTGGCTTTCAGGAAGACGTCGCGACCCTTCTTCACGTTCCAGGGACCGAGTCCGTTGTAGAGGAGGATGGTCTTCAGTTTGCCGCTGGACTTGATCTCCTCGTAGTTGTGCGGCACGTACATCAGCTGGTTGACGATCCGATCGGAAAAGAGATCCTGGTGGGGTAGCAACCGGGGAGCATGTCGCTTCCTGGCCTTGCGATTGCTGTAGGTCTTCGCTGGCTTGGGGTAGTACTCGCCGTTCTTGAAGAACCAGGCCTTTTCCGCCGGCGGCTCTTGCAGCCGATCGGCCTCGCTCTCCTCCTCCTCCAGAACCGCCTGATCCGGCTCCTCGACCAAATTACCAGCCGCTTCAGGGAGCAGAGTGGCTGCGGCTGGCGTCGGCGTGGAACTGGTGGCCACTTGATGCTCCTCCTCCATGGACTGCAGTTGATGCAGGTGCTGGGTGTGCTGCTGCTGAGTGGTTATTTGTGACGATCTTGGACCCCGCGTCTTCCATATTTCGTGCTCTCTGTTTATTATTGATTAAATAAATTATATTTTTAATGAATGTCTGCTCATAACCTTTACTCTTTGCAATAAGAATCACAAATTCCTATGGGAACTATATTTATACCTGCCTGTCCCTTCGCTCAAAGTCTAACTTAAGATTAAACTTATATATTTAAAGATTTTAATACCACCATAAATATTTATTTAATATTTTTTTTTTTTATGATAAATGTAATACGTTTCATATTCGATTTTTGAATTCATCTTATTGAAATTTTAAACTCTTTAAATTAATTCAGAAACGATTGCAAAGCTGAGTAATCAAATACTGACATTAATCCATCATTATTATTATACCCTTGCAGAGGGTATTATACTTTTGGTCAAAAGTGTGCAACGCAGTGAAGGAGACATCTCCGACCCTATAAAGTATATATATTCTTGATCAGGATCACCTCTGAGTTATATACCATGTCCGTCCGTCCGTCTGTCTGTTTCTACGCAAACTAGTCTCTCAGTTTTAAAGCTCGAATTGAAACTTTGCACACACCCCTTTCCTTTCAGTTATATATGTCGGAACGGCCGGGATCGGCCGACTATCTACTAGCTGCCATATAACTGATTGATCGGAAATGCCATTACTTTGGTGTTTGTTAAGTTAGGAAGCTGGGATTTTCTATGGGTTTTATATTTGACCAATCAATCCGACCTACCAAATTTCATAAGGATCGGCCGACTATATCCTATAGCTGCCATAACTTTGGTGTTTTTATACGCGTTACTCGTAGAGTAAAAGGGTATATTGTATTCGTGCAAAAACCCTATAAAGTATATATTCTTGATCAGGATCACTAGCCGAGTCGATCTAGCCATGTCCGTCTGTCCGTCTGTCTTTTCGTCTGTCTGTCTGTCTGTCCGTATGAACGCTGAGATCTCGGATACTATAAAAGCTAGAGGATTGGCATTTTGCGTGTAGATTTTAGAAGTTCCTACGCAGCGCAAGTTTGTTTCAAAATCCCGCCCACAATCGCTTATATACGATTTTAAAAATTTAAATATTTCGGAAAAGTAAAAATGCATTTTATTGTGTTTATCATATACCTATCGAAATGTATAAGAAATTTTCAAATCGAACCATTCGTTAAAAAGTTATGCGTGATCAAATTTCTATTTTCCCCTTCCCTAAAAAAGTTAAGATTTTTAATAATAATATAATTTACAGAGTATACAAAGTATATTTCAACCACAAGTTAGCTTTCCTTTCTTGTTTTTGAGGCTCTAATTTAATAATACCAATTATATATTTCCCAGAACCGGAATAGTCTCCGCTTTTCTCTACCTCTTGGGTACCCGAAGATCAATATTTGATCGGGACTACTTTTTATAATCGACACGTTCTCTTACTTACTTGATACTGAAACCGAATATGAGGAGGAGGGCGCAGATCAGTGTGAAATAGAAGTACTTCTTGAGGGATATTTTTGGACGTCGCATGATGACCACACCCACTCCTCAGCGATGGGGCTCTAGACTACGGGTTTCGGGGGCCAATCAACTGACTACGTCTTCTTCAGCTGGCGTTTGTCATTGTGCTGTGCGGGATATATAATATAAACAAATGTGATACTAGATTATAAATGCAAATATCCGACTCTCTTTCGTACTCCAACTCTGTCAAAGCCCCAAAATTCTGGCACTAATTACCCGTGTAATTCATTTTGGCTGATTATACTCTTAATTTTGGTTCCGAACTCAACTCCATTCGTGTTGATCGTTTGGACTCTCCGCGCGAACTGCGCTTGGGTTTAAAAAGTTTTCATTTCAACGTTTGGAGGTACATTATTCACTGCACGGCTTTTAAATTAAATATTGATATGCAGTGTAACGTTTTCTGCAGTTTTTCAAAAATAATATAAGGTAACAATGTTTTAGGAAAACTAAAATACATTAGGTTCAATAAATTTGAATTTTTCGATTAAATTTGTTTGAAAGCAAGAATACACGAAATTCCACTTTGTGCCGCTTTCTCTTATTTCTTGAAGCATATTTCTCATTCGAAGCATACAAACTCCCTGGGAATTTGTTAATGTTTCCTGATTTATAGTGTATTGGTTTGGCTTTGTTTTGCTATAATGATGATCGACATAATTATTTAGTTTTCTCTCATTAGTTATGGTTGAACGATTGAATTGGATGACATTAGTTCCGATTCGAGCGGCAGGGCATGTGATAAAATGATTGTCTCAAGTCTGGCAAAATGTATATTAGCAACATGTGGGAGAGGCAAGAGTCTCTTACGTTCACTCAATGAAAGTATTCGAACTCGGACAATTCCTATTTGCCCAGACCAAATATTGAGGCAGATGGCTGTCTCGCCTCAAGAGCTGTTCCACATCGACCAGCGGGGCGTATACGTAATAAACCTAACGAGGGGGCCAGAGAATCCAGTGAAGTGGTTGAAAAAGTGTGGGTGGAGGAAACCCCCTTCTTCAGGCAATAGATAGTCTCAGAGCTGACTACTATCAACGGCTTTTATGGACCTGCCCCGAAGGCAGCCTAATTACAGGAGACGGCGAAGGCGGGTGCAGCTTCATTTGGGGCACATTCCTGGCTAATCCCCCAAAGCCCTCACCAAGTGTCCATCCATCTATCACATGTCATTTATGGCACTATTCCGTGCGCCTCTATGTGGTAGTGCAACTGTGTGAGTCATTCCGCCGGCGGTTGCAACATCACTTAGGGTCTGAGGTCTGGGGTTTGGGGGTCTACACTACTTTGGTAGCCATGCAAATAAGGTGGTGTGGTGCGAGTTGTGGTTGGGGCCTGCACCACTCTCAAGTTGCCCGCTCCAATTCGCAACTATTCTACACTTGGAATTACCAACATTATAATTTCAACATTTTTTTACGTAAATGTAACAATTTAAAATACATTACTTTATTAATTTAATGAAATCATTGACAATTACTCTTTTTTTCCCGAAACCCTAGAAGTTTTAGCTTATCGTAGAAAATAAGTATGTAGTTTCTAAACATTGGGATCTTTTTGTGCACAATAAGCTTTTTTACTCAATTTTCAAAGTTGGCTTATGCTAACATTACAATTTAAATAAATAAGAAAATATATTAATTCGACTTGAAAATAATTGAATGTGATAAATGTTCAATTTCAAAGAAACACAAGTAGGGACTATGGAAAAATAACTTAAGAAAGGTAAGTAAAATCATAAAGGATTTTTTAGTACAAGTTAAATATTTTTACCTCAGTGTAGCCCGCAGGCCACCCTGTTCTTCATTAAGGTCTTCACTATCGTATTTTTGACGTTTTTGACAAGCAAACAGCAGGAGAAAAGCGAATGCTTTAAGGAGTGGGGATAACCAGAGTGGATCCCTCGGCTTGCATGAAAAATGTAGTTAGAGTCATTCATTCATGTTGCAAAAGTAGGACTCCGATGGAAAGTATATAGGGAAGGCAATGGAAACGGGAACGGGAAAGAGGCATGGGCAAACAAAACGACATGGAAGGCATCAATAGTCCGAAGGGGTTGAGAAACTCCTTGCTGGCGCACTCCCTATTATCCCTTACAAAAGTCCGAGTAGAACATGATACAAGCTTATTTATTAACCTTACAATTCACTTTATTGATTATAACACTGTTCTAAACCCTATGTCATAGCGCCATAAGTTTTTAATTTACTTTACGAACTGCATGGTACTGTTTACCTGCACAATAAGTCTTGCAAAACTCACTAAACTATTATCCGGTTATCCACGGTTACGCTAATTAGCAAAAGCATGCATATAGTACATCAAGTTTTCTTAGCAGTTGAGATTCCTTGTAAATACACATACAATTCGATTCAGCAAACGAACTGCACTTTCCCTATTCCGTGCTGATAGGATTCCAAAACTCAAGAACTTACTCTATTAAATCTTATCATTTCTGTTTATTTAATAAGGTTTCGTTTGTACTAATTTACATTCGATAATAATAAAATTATTTGAAAAGGAAATGTTTGCTAATCAGAGGAAAAAAAGTATAAGATCAAAAAATAAATTTCTATGAATTAAGTCAAAATGATGTCTAAAATGGGCAAAGTTTGTTTTGTCTAGCACCAACGTAAAACTAAGAATAATAGACTTTTATAATTAAACAATTCAAATCATTAATTACAAACCATTTTGTTTTGATTTAAATAGTATTCACATTATTAAATATTTTGTTTTATATGTTTTGGTTTGCTATTTATAAAATTAATTATAGGAAAGGTATTAAATTCTCTAAATATTAGTTTTTAAAAACACAAGGAATTTATTAAAAAAAATTTTTTTTTTTAGTATATTTAGTTTTAAGACAAAATAACATAATAATAACATAATAAATATTCTAATTTTAATTATAATGCACATCTTTTTTGCAAGGATTTGGATATCAAATTGGTTTGATTTTATTTTCCTTAAAGAAATGTATGTACATATATGTAAGGTTGCTCTTTAAAGAGTATGTAATACAAACGGTAAATTTGTTCCAGATTAAAAATAATAAATAAAGTCTTCGGCGTGTAAATTCTCAAATTACCCAATCCATCAAAACCAAAGAAATTTGCTATCGTATCCGCCGTAATGGCTTTACCCGGATTTTGACGCACCTTTTTCCCTCTAGAATCGTGTCTCCTGCTTACGCTTCCTTAATTTATGTGTTTATATTTAGTTAGTTGCTGTGGCCTCTTGTCATGGCACTTGATCTACGCCTTTAGTATGTCAATATGCCTATATACGTATGTACAATATAGGGGCTCAAGCACCAAGAGGGAAAACTTGTGGAGGGTGGTGGGTGTAGTGTTTCTCTGACTTGCATGCATTGTTTTTCTTGAATATCCCACACGGACTTTGGCTGAGGAAAATGTCATTTCTTTGTTGTCCTCACGCTGCCGCACTTGACTTTCTGGGCTACAAGTTTATATACACTTTCTAGTAGGGTATTCTAATTTGGAATAGATTTAAGCAACGTATTTTCTATTGTTATTCCGTATTCTTAAATAATTGTATTTTAAGCTTAATACTAACAAATCCTTGTTGATGAAAATCGTTTACTTTCACCTTATTTTTATCGCCACATTTGTTAGATATGATAATGATTTATCGGTGAACCCCAAGATTAAATATCTTTCTAATATTTTATAAGCTATACTAATAGAAAAAGGTCTACTTTTATCATTTTCGATCTCATAGATTAGATGAGATCTTGCCCTTAATTTATATATTTGTACATACATAATTTGTTTATTTTCAAGAAAGATGATGATGGTTCAATCTGGTTTGTTAAGATTTTTAAGGGTATCCTAAACTTCATTCTCCGAAACTATTATGTTCATTATTGTTATGTGTTCGGTTTCCTTTTGAAGGACTATGAGGAATTCTTGATTGTGACTTTGCAACTTGTTAGTTTGTTGTTCACTTTTGGCCCTTCTAACAATAAAGTGTTCATATTTTTACCCCATATATGACTGGTGTCTCCCTTACCAGTTTCCCACATTCCCCCTCCCACTTTCCCCTCCCACATTCCCACCCCCTTTTACGCACGCACTGTCTGTCCCGCTACCAATATACCGATAAGTCTGTCTTTTTCACTCACGTGTTCATACATGTCTATGATTTTCTTTTTTGTCTTAATCAATAATTTTTATGGTCCGTTGTACAAAAGTTGATGGGTTAAGTGGGCTTTAAGACCTCTCGACTGGTCAATAAACATTTTGCATGTGCACTTACACAATTGAGCCGCCGTTGTTGTTGTTGTTTATTTGTTTGTTGTGGGTCCTTAGATTTTTCTTCTTTTTTTGTTGGCTATACTAATATGTGCACCTTTCGCAATCTTTGTCATATTTGCACACAATTTGAAACTTTGCTTAGCTTGTGGATTTCAGTGGTTTGTTTAAGGTAATTTAAATTATTTTTCCGCACACACACATACAGACACGCAGAGGGTATAAAAGTAACTGATGTCCTTATCCTTTTCACGTAACTTTTGCAACTGCGCCCAAAATGGAAATGTAAATGTGTTCTTTTTACCAGACAGCTGGGCACCCAAAGGAGTGAGAGAGAGAGAGAACCTGGGAGAGCGCCCAAGCCGGAGAAAGAGAGAGCGAGATATGTAAATGCGTCTAATATAATGTTAATATAAAACTAATTGATTAAATCAATGGCTTCAGCTATAATTTTTGTTATTTAATAACGGCATATTTTAAACATATTTTTAAAATTATGATAAACTTTCTTTTGCGGCTTTTATGCGCAAGTGTAAGAGAGAAAGAGAGCGGTAAGAACAAGAGAAATGGCAAACAAACAAAAGTCACAGCTGTCTTATCACAGGGCGGTTTTTTGCCACCCCCTTTTTACTGATAGCGGAGACAGCCGTTTACTGCGGTTCATGTCTCCACTAAGCTTGCTATAAAAACTCAACTCTTCAAATTGGACTCAAATTCCATGATTTAATAGTTACCTTTATTTTATTTACATCCATTTTGAGGTTGTCAGAAATTGAGCCTTCGGAATTTCTTGTTTTAATTCAAAGAAAAAATTAGACCAGTACCAAAAATAGACGAATCTTTAAAATTTGACGATAAATATTTTCTTCTAAAAAAAACATTGGCTTTTTAAATTATGAAAATAAAAATATAAACTAATGCGCCATTTTAAAAGCTTTATTTACGTCTGGTCCTTTTTTACGAATGCAGGATGAAATAGGACAACTATTTCCTATTTTAAGTATTGCTGCAGGAGGAATAAAAAATCTTGATAAAAATATTAACTTTAAGCCTAAAGCATTTTCGGTCATTGCGTTTTTATGACGGGGTCGTAATGAGAGGATATTTTAAAACTTCCGTCTTTGCTCAGTCTAAAATTTTGTATATGAAAAGTCATGGTCATCTTAAAAAAGGAATGGTCAATTTATTAAGTTTTCATTTATTGTACAATCCATTTAATAAGATAAGTTATTCATTAGATCCGTAAATTCTGTAATCGAACGGAATGTTTCTTTAATACATTTCTGAAAATCTCTTCCTATGTTTTGACAAGATTTTACACTTACACATATAATTTACGTTTCCATTTATTTTCAATACCAGATAACCTCCACTTATTCTTTGTATTCCCTAAGCACAAATTACACTCTCCAGTTTTTTTAAAAGGCCTTCACGTTACTCGATTTCTGTGTCCCTGTCTTGAAGGATTCCCCGTGGACTCTATTGGGAAATCAACTTAAGCATACCTTACACTCGTTTTCGATTAAATATTCTTAGGAGCTAAACTTAAAACGGGCTGGGTGCAAGCAGACATACAAACAACGCTTCCGAGAATTATGATCGTATTAAAAATATACAGGTATATAAACTATAATGTTCCAATTATCTTAGCCTAGCCTATGCACAGGTGCATAATCCAAGTTTTGTCGAGTTTCTAAGCAGAGCTGAAGCTTTCGTAGACGTTGGCCCCCAGCGTCTTCGTCTTCTCGGCGACCACGTAGAAGGTGAGCAGCTGGGTGGGCAGGTTATGGGGCCGTGATGTACTGTCGAAACCCCTTGAGGTGAGGCCACTGATGATTGGAATGAGCTTGGCCAGCGCCATCAGCACCCGGTTGATGTTCAACAAGTTGTTGTTCTCCAGATTATGGCTCTTTGAACTGCTGCTGCTGGAGCTTCCTGCCTGGTTGAATTTCAGATTATCCTGTTGGGTTTGCACCTCAGCTTGAGGCAGATGCTGTAGAGTTTCCCCCATTGACTCGGCAATGGCATCGCAGGCCAAGACAAATCCTCGGCTCACATTGTGCGAGCACACTCCAATGGCATCCTCGCTCTCCAGCAGATCCAACGTCTCGTTGAACATCTTCTGCAGCAGCGGCGAATGGCTGGGATTCTGGCTGGGCAGCAGGTACTTGCTCATCCGAGAATTGGGGTCCCTACGAGTGTCCGCATTGATGGCCATTTGCAAGGACCAGAAGAGCTGCTCCAAGTCGTTGAGAGACAGTTGCTGGGACAACGGCATGGCCTTAATGACGGCAATCACCTGGCTGCGTATATAGCGAGCAAGATCCCGAATGCCCGACTCCGTGATGAAGTGCCGGATGAGAGAGAGGTACTGCTGCTTCAGTTCGTCTGTGATTTGTTTTTGCTCCGTCATGATATCCCGGTAGATATAGCCACCTAGGAGATTTAACTGCACTCGGAGGGCAATAACCAGCATGGAGGAGGCGTAGACGTAGGTGGCCAGCCTTGTAAACGCCACAATCTTCATGTCCTCCCACAGTTCCAGCTTGTTCTTGGGATTCTGGCGCAGCTGCTCGAGGAGCTCATCCGTGCTGCACTCGCGCAGTACCGCCTGACACATTTCCTCGCCCATGCCAAGGATCACCTGGTTACAGGTCTTCTCCGTCGACTCAAAGTGGGTCATGCGGCGTGTCCTTTCGAAGAACTCCCTGGCCTGTTTCTCCTGGAACTCCACAAAGCGCCGCTGGGCGTATCGCGCCGCAAAGATGGTGCCGCCCACCAAAACGCCGGTCACTATGAACTTCCGCCGGTGGCGTGACAAGAAGTCCTGCAGACGCGACAGCATGTTAACGATTGGAAAAGGACTCCTTCTACAAGATGGTCTCCTGTGTGAAATGGGCCAACTGTTACCGCTTTTCCTCACTTTTCCTGCTCCAGCGACGACCTGTTCGAGGTTAATAAATAGTTAATGTGCAAAGTTCACCTGTGTGCGTAGGGTGGCGCTCTGCCGGCGTCGCTGCCAGCAGAGGAGCGCCCTCAACTTATCCGCTGCGATTAGATTACCACCAGGTAATGCTCACCTAGAGATTCCCTATGCACGGATCTGGTTCGCTGCTTTATCGATTTGGTAGCGGGCCGTTCGTCTGCTGTGGCATTTGCGCGGATCGCTGGAATGTACGGAACGGATTTATATCTTTGTTTTCGCTCAAAGTGTTTATTGCTCTGTTTGGAGCCGCATACTGCGCCGAAACATTTTGACTCGGGAAAAATCCCAAAAGTTGAGGGTGGAAAAATACCGAAAAAAATATCCGCTATTCTATAGCTACTTGTATACCTACCATTAACCCTTGAGTTCCCAATTTTCTATTTGCTACCAAACAATAGTGAAATTGTTAACTAGTTTTAGCTTAAATAAATGACTTTAAGAAACACATTTGAAGCGTTAAAATCCTCTTGGACTAAAGGATGTCTTAAATCTTTTAAAGCATTCAAGAAGCTAGAGATTTTTTAAATTTTATTCCTTTTTTAAGTAGTAAGTTAGGATTTTGAGAATATTTATAAGTACTGACTAAACAATTGATTAGATCTAAAATATAAATAAATAAATAATAAATAAATAAATAAACAGCATGTTGGTAATTTTGTTGCTTTAAAACATCAAAATAATTTTATATATAATTACTTATGATATTACATTTTAGTTAATGTATAGACTGTAATTAAATAACATTTTGCTCAAATTCAAACTATTCAAGTCTGTTATACCAAAAAAAGTCGACTAGTGGAAACGTTCATTTCAATCCCGAAAGAAGAAGACAAACATATGGTATATATAAGATAGTTTGTGGGGGTGGATATTTAGTTCAAGTGTTTGTTATGGCGTCGTCGGATCGAAATCGAAAGCTAATATTGGTCTCCGGATTCGGACCATTCCTCGGCCACGAAACCGTAAATGCAAGCTGGGAGGCTGTGAAACTTCTTCCGGAGGTCCTTACCCACAATGGCGTAGAATACGATCTAGAGAAGCGCTTGGTTGCCGTGGAATACGCTGCTGTGGATGAGGCTGTGACGGAGATATGGAAACGCCAGCCAGATGTAAGAATTGTGCTCTCAATTGAACCGTAAATAGCCAATCCAATGATGATATCATTTCTTCCCCAGCTGGTCATACATGTCGGCGTTTCGGGCATCGCAAAGTGTGTCTACGTAGAGAAGCTGGCATATAATCACAAGTTCATAAGAGGCGATAATTCTGGAGAAAAACTGCCCAACGGAAGTAGCGAACTCCCGAACAATGGACACGCCAATGTCTTGCGAACTGAGCTCGATGTGGATAAGATTGTGACGGCTGTAAATCAGCAATGCGACGAGTGTGTGGCCCCCATAAAAGCCCCCCATTATGATAATCTCAAGCCCCTGGGCGCAACGAAGGCTTCCAAAAACGTGGGCAACTTTCTTTGCGGCTATATCTATTTGAAATCCCTCGATATGGACAAAAAACGGAGTCTGTTCGTTCATGTACCGCCAATAAATAAACCATTTAGCAGTGAAAAAACCGCTGAGATAGTATTTGCCATAGTTCAACAATGCGTTCAACAGGTGGCTGAATGTGACTCCTGAATTCCGCATTTTTTATGCATTTTATTGTATTCTTCCGTCTTTATTCAATGTTAAATTGACAATTAATGTGAGTAATGTTGTTTAATAAATGAGTTTTATTTATATTATTAATTTATATGTTTGTATTATCAGAGAAAGCAGGAAGATTGTTCAACAGCAAAAATATTTTGTTTTATGTTTACACAACCCTACAAAGCATTCTGTTCTAAAGGTGAATGACATGAATTGCATGTTGTGGGGTTTTAAAATAGCGACGATTTCTCAATGTCTTGTTACTCTTCTAGTTTAGAGTTTTTAGTCAGATAACAAAGTATTGAAGTATTTAACCTAATGCAAACAATTTAAAATGTTAAATGGAACCAAGAAAATTTTAAAAACATGCTAATTAAGGAAGTCAAGCAATTAAGTTTTTAGTCAGGAAATAGGGAATAAGTCTAAAAATATTTGCATTTGTTTACGAACATTTTTTATTAGGAAAATTTTCTGAGCTGCCGCTCAAACTTCTGAATACTATATTTGTTTATATTTTTTAAGAACTGGCTAACAAATACTTTCGTTTTATCTAGGATCAAATATTTAAAAATGCCAACGCTTATTTGTAAAAGCGGTTTGGATTTAAAAGGTTGTTGAAAAATAAATTCTGAAAATATTAAAAAAAGATTTAAATTGTATTATTATGTCGACATTTAATTAACGAAAAATTTCGTTAAAATGTTTTTGAAAATATTGACATTTTGGGAGTAAAAAATTCTCCAAATTTTGATCATATTTTACCTATAAATACAGTATGGATTTAACCATTGTTGTTTATGCCATATATATTTTAAGAAATAACCGTCCCAAGCAATATTGCCATACGTACCCACCAAATGAACGATGGTGTTGTAAAGCAAACAACTATCGATAACTGAGACCATTTTACTTCCAGCTCTAGTATATATCAATATATATATCATCCCGATTAAAACCAGACGAATTTCATTTGGGTTTTTACTTGCAACCGGGCAAGTTCATCGTTGTTCGAATCCCAGTTTTTGGTTGGCGAGTGTGCTGCACCCACGCAGGGAGAATAAATAGAGTTTATAATAAGACGCAATGAAATTCCTGATCTGTGCACTTTTCCTGGCGGCGTCCTACGTGGCCGCTAACGCCGAGGCGGAGGTCAAAGTTGAGGACGGAGTTTTGGTGGCGACGGTGGACAACTTCAAGCAATTGATTGCCGACAACGAGTTCGTGCTGGTCGAGTTCTGTAAGTACCCAAATAATATACATATCTGATAAATCCTAACAAAAAGTGGCGAAAATCGAATATCAAAGCGCCGGCCGCCGTACCCTCTCGCTCGCACTTGCTGCTGATTCATGCGGCTTAGCGGCTACGTGGTCTTTCCAGGCGTCAGAGAAAATCTGTCTGCGTGGCAGTTGTAGTTAACTGGAAACCTAAAAAATCTTAATGCAATGCAAATGCCTAGTGTTTGGTCATCCAATTGGAGTAAAAGTTCAAGACTAGGGGTTGGAAAATTTGTTTAGTTGATTTTCTTGCAATTTATCGTTTGTTTAACCGTTTTTATCTCTCGCATCATCGTGGGAAAGAGAGTGTATAAGAGGGGGGAGAGAGCGCTCTCTCGCAATAAGGTGTCATCTCTTTTCCTCACCTGTGCGAGCAAGCGAGACAGGAGTACACTGCGGCACTTTTTGTTATTGTTGCTGCCATAAAAACCTGCTATAATTCTTAGATCCAAAAATGCAAAATGACAAAGGAAACACAAGCTCGTGCGCAACAAGCATTAGTTCTCCATATGCTTTACTTTTATCGGCGACTTTAATTATTGTTCTAACTCTGGGCGTGGCCACATATCACATATCCGCTTCAACAATCTCCAAACGAGAGTATTGAAACAAATAGCAACAAAAAGCCGTCGGGCAACTCTTCTTTCTTTCTCCCACGAATCTAGGTTAGCCAAACCAAACCGAAACCACTTTTTATTCGCCATTTGCTTTCTAGTCCAATTTTTATTCCGCTTCGGATTTTTGGTTCTAAATCTGACTTCAAATCTGGTTTCAGTCCCTTTTCCACGGCGGCGCTGCTTCCACGCAATGGAAAGTTCATTCAACTCTTTTTCTCTGCGCGTGCCTAACGGTGTTTATCCGCCAGTGGTGCTTAGTGCGAGCAACAGATTATTATTTAGCGGGAAAATAGCTTAAAATTAGCGTTTTGTAAAAATCGAATTTTCAGAGATACAACGGTCTTGCAGCAGATTTTTAGCAGAAGTTCAAAACTAGCTAATAAATAAATGATTCAGAAACTTACTATTTCTATATTAAAAAATATGTAAATTTAAGTGTGTTAAAAAATGGTTTTTACGTAGTTGTTCAAATCAACAGTATTTTACAAATATAAATATTTTAAATAGCTAATTATTTAAATATTGAGAAAGTAAAGTAAAGTAAACATTTGCTTTTTATTTGCTTGTTTTGAAAAATAACTCATCTTTAGCATTGGTTACTTTCGAACAAAGAATATCTTCATTTTGTTATTTAAAGATACGTTCTCATAGGCTACCCGCAGCAAAAAAAATCTTCAATGAAGATTTTGGTTCTATTCATGACAGTTTGAAAAAATATAAAACCACCTCTTATCATGCAAGTGTGAAAAGCACTTGAAAGATAAACCCGAATCAGATACAAAAAAGTCCCCCCGATTCGGCCTTAAACCGACAGATATGCTAGCATGTCATCTCTGGGGGCCAACAATATGGCGTATTGTGTGGTTTGTTTATGCAAGCGTTTCTCTTTATTTGTTTAATTAAGAATCGCACTTTTTGTCGTTGTTTTAGTGCGGTTTTGTTGAGGTGTCAACGTCAGCCAAGTCGATAATTGTCTGCTCATCCAAGCTCTTATCTCTGAGACTAAAATTGGAAGCGGAACCAATGCCAGGGCCACGTCAGCCGCATCTATAGCTAAATCGAGAGCCAGAAGCCGGCGATAAGGCAACAGTGTATATAAGATTAAATCGAATTCGTAGACGTTGTCAAGCCAGTCATTATGTCATCTGAGAGTTCCAGTTTTGGTTTTGTGTGCGTGGATGCGCACCAAAGTGCATCCGTGGTTCCAAGGAACATTCCCCCAACGAGAATCAGACACGTGGAATTTGCATAATGCCAACATCTGCTGGAGGTTATAGCGGCAGGTTCTAGGGGCCCTGTTCCAGATCCGTGGCAAATCTAGCGCATATAATTGTCGGTCCAAATTTAGAATTTTACACTTGACTGACAAGCTCCTAGTGCGCGCCATTTAATTACGGTTCAAAATAGTTAATGTAAACAAAAGGGATAAAGAAACTATAGCGACAAACTACTCTGATGGGTTGCACGAAGCCGGAGTATGAATATGTTCACTTTATTCTTACATTGCTTTAGCGTTTAAATCAAGTTGGCCATTTATTTAGAAGTGAGTAAACGGATGCAAACAGAAATTGTGGATAATTCAATATTACCATTTTGAAACTTGTAGATTTTATCCAAGTTTTTAATAACAATGTGGTTTAATACATTAGTAAACAAAAAAAAACGATGATATAGTAGGTGTTTAATGGTTGACTACCCGCAGACAGATATTTAATTTATCTAGATAGCTTTATTTAATTTGTAAGTCAATTAGTTCAATTGTTTTAATTTTTTTTTTTTTAATCTAAATTTGTATCGCAAATAACATACAATTTAAAATTAAATTACTTTCAGGAGAGATCCTAAAGTGAATGCAATTAGGCTTTTAACCCATTTTCCGTGCTCTTAAAAACCTGTATCATTTAATTAACCATGAGGCAATTTTGTTTACCATTCTTTAAATGAAATTGTGACAGGCTCAACAACTTAATTCTCAACAATTAAACAATAATTATATCTGGGGTCTATAAATACTTTGTTTGCCTATAGCATACGTGTAGGTCATACCATGATGAACTCGATAAAGTACCTTTGTTCAATCGCTTAAAGTTAGAAACAAACTAAAAACACGATTGCTTATACCTGTGTTGGTCTTGTTCCAAACCTGTTTAAAAGTTCTACGATTGAGAACTACTGCTTTCCACTTGCTGATCTTTATCTCTGTTCTTGATCTTTACAGACGCCCCATGGTGCGGACATTGCAAGGCTCTGGCTCCCGAGTACGCCAAGGCTGCCCAGCAGCTGGCCGAGAAGGAGTCTCCCATCAAGCTGGCCAAGGTCGATGCCACCGTCGAGGGTGAGCTGGCCGAGCAGTACGCCGTGCGCGGCTACCCCACTCTGAAGTTCTTCCGCAGCGGTGCTCCCGTGGAGTACACTGGTGGCCGCCAGTCTGCCGACATCATCACCTGGGTGACCAAGAAGACCGGCCCACCGGCCAAGGATCTCCCCAGCGTGGCTGAAATCGAGCAGTTCCTGAAGGACAACGAGATCGCCATCATTGGATTCTTCAAGGATGCCGAGTCGGAGGAGGCCAAGACCTTCACCAAGGCCGCCAACGCTCTGGACTCTTTCGTCTTCGGTGTGAGCAGCAATGCCGACGTGATTGCCAAGTACGAGGCCAAGGACAATGGAGTAATCCTGTTCAAGCCCTTCGACGACAAGAAGTCCGTGTTCGAGGGTGAGCTGACCGAGGAGAGCCTGAAGAAGTTCGCCCAGGTGCAGTCGCTGCCCCTGATCGTTGACTTCAACCACGAGTCCGCTTCCAAGATCTTCGGCGGCTCCATCAAGTCGCACCTGCTGTTCTTCGTGTCCAAGGAGGCCGGCCACATCGAGAAGTACGTGGATCCCCTGAGGGAGATCGCCAAGCAGTACCGCGACGACATCCTGTTCGTGACCATCTCTTCCGACGAGGAGGACCACACCCGCATCTTCGAGTTCTTCGGCATGAACAAGGAGGAGGTTCCCACCATCCGTCTGATCAAGCTGGAGGAGGACATGGCCAAGTACAAGCCCGAGTCGAACGATCTATCCGCCGAGACCATCGAGGCCTTCCTCAAGAAGTTCCTGGACGGCAAGCTGAAGCAGCACCTCCTGTCCCAGGATCTGCCCGAGGACTGGGACAAGAACCCCGTCAAGGTGCTGGTCTCCAGCAACTTTGAGAGCGTTGCCCTAGACAAGAGCAAGAGCGTGCTGGTCGAGTTCTACGCCCCATGGTGCGGACACTGCAAGCAGCTGGCCCCCATCTACGACCAGCTGGCCGAGAAGTACAAGGACAACGAAGACATCGTCATCGCCAAGATGGACTCCACCGCCAACGAGCTGGAGAACATTAAGATCTCGTCCTTCCCCACAATCAAGTACTTCCGCAAGGAGGACAACAAGGTTATCGACTTCAATCTGGACAGGACTCTGGACGATTTCGTCAAGTTCCTCGATGCCAACGGTGAGGTGGCCGATTCCGAGCCCGCCGAGGAGACCGAGGAGGAGGAGGAGGCGCCCAAGAAGGACGAGTTGTAAATCCAACAACTACCACACCCCCACACACATCTACACAGAAACACAAACGAAAATCCAACAACTACGAACAGCAACATCCGTGTAACAAACAACAAAAAGCCACAACTAGCAACGTACATTCTGTAGTTTATTTCTAGCGTTTCGGCGCATGTGGGCGTCCGGAGTTTCCCCATCCGGGGGCTGAGTTTTTGTCAGTCGCTTGGATTGGGTCAGCTGGTCGTCAGCGTCGCAATCGAAGCATTTTTGCCCGACCTCGGTTTTTTATTCGCATACTTAACACTTTCGTTGTATGTACACTTGCAACGCAGATTTTAAACGCTCTCCGCGCGATGTTACGTCCGCTGTCTGCGTAAACTTAAAATTCAGTTTTAATGAAGAATAAACGAAAGCGATAAATTTTAATACCTAATTCTTTAAGTTTTCTATTTTGGAATTTTTAGAATCATTGAAAGAACTGATTAAGAACGTAACAAATAAAGTTGGTAACAACATTAAAAAAATTGATTGTGTTTTGTTTTTAAGGAATTGGGAGTGAAATATTAAAAAATGTATATAGCGAATAACTTTCAAAATAAGGTGTCTATATATAACTGGAGAAAGCTGTCCAATACTAATAAATTGTATTTGCTTTGTTTGTATGGTAAACCAACAGGTGGGGAAAGTCTTTTATTTATTTAACCACAAATTACAAAGATTTCAACCAGTCTAAAATGTTCAGTTTAAAAAACGATTTTTTTACCGCCTTTCTATCGCTATCGAAATTTGATATCTCTAGTTATTTTTGGTTAAATTTTAAATCCATACGTTTTTTCCTAGATATATACTGAAAAAACTGTACACAAAATGAAAAATTAATTTAAGTATAGAATTATTTTAGTTTTAATAGTATTGACAAAATATCGATATTGGTATCGAGGATAAACAGTTTGTTTAGTGTTGGGAAAGTTATAAGTGCATGTTCTGTTCGTGAACTTGCTATTTCCTGTTTATACCAAGGGTTATCCTGGCTTTAATAACTTGAAAAATGTAATTGTATGGTTTTAACTCAATTGTAAAAACATCTGTCAAAATCAGTTAATATCACATAATAAAGTTTGTTTTGCTTTTTATGAAAAAAAATATGCATAACATATATAAAAATGTTATAAATTAGCAGGTAAAGTTTCAATAAATTACAATTATGAAATTCGCGAAATTGTGATAACGCATTGCATAAACGCCCTATCGGCAACAGGACAACATTTACCAACACTGCCGAAAAACGACGGCATCTGCGCGTTTCGTTCCCACGTTGTCCTGAATCACGCATTGAGATAAATTGGCTTGAAGTTATAGATGATTATGACGGAAATTAAGCGAGTTCTACTCCTGAAACAAACATTAAAATAAAGCAACAATTCAGAAAATCAGTTAGTGTTTTATTCAACAAGGGATTTCTAAAGGGACGACCTCTTTTAATTCAACATGAATAGGGAAATATCACGATGTGCGATTAACTGCAGATGCGCGCCGCATAAACGCAACATTCATCCGACGAAGCTCTTAATCGGTACTACTCCTGCTCGAAATCCAAAAAATATATATAAACAGTGCACATATTACAAATATAATATGTTTGGACCCGGTCAGGTGTGCAGTGCGTTAGAGCTTTACCACGGACCATCGAAATTTCCTGCGTAGTGCGATATCCTCAGCAGAAATAAAAATTTGTTGGTATGTCTTTCATTTTTGGCCTTTTCTTCGGGAGACGAAGACGGGGGCGCTCCGACTTTCACTGCAATAACGAGTTATTTCGGTCGGTCCAAATTATGTAGTAAATTTGCATTTATTTTCGCAGCGCCATGAGCTGCTTGGTGGGCAGGAACAGGAGCCGGAAGCGGAACAGCGGCAGTACGCTGGACGAATACGACAAGGTCAGCACTCTTGGCAATGCGGATGACACGGAGTGCGCGTCGCTTAATCCGGAGCGGGACCAGGAGCCGGATAATAAAGAGCCGGATTTGCATGAGGAACCGGAATTCGGCCATCTCGATGAGACGCGGCGCAAGATTCACGATGCCATTGCGGCCCTGAACGATGATAGCTTTGATAAGCGTATGGCCCGGCTGCTCATGCAGTACGAGGGGTAAGTACATATACACTCATACATACAGCCAGGTTCTCAAAAGTAATACCCACCCTCAATAATCTTTCAGTGCAATACGGGAGGAGTTCGAGCGGGCCCAGTATTCGCCTCTGAAGTGTCGCAAGCTGGCGCGCATTTTAACCGGTCTCACCGACGTCATCCACACCATGGTCCAGGGTCGGGCATTGCAGCAGGACGAAGTATACAGGCAACGTATGTGCCACATTGTCGGCTTCTACATATCCTGCGAACTTTGCTCCGCCCAGGAGCCGGTAGAAAGCGAGGAGTGCATCATCAATCGTATCAACAGTTGCCTGAAGCTCTACGTGGAGTACGGAGAAGGTGGAGCCGGCGTTCACCGGGAGCACGTGCTGCGCACTCTCCTCGCAGCCCCCAAACTCTTCAACAGAGCCAGCATTTTGTCCATGCTGTACAGGTAGGAACAGTTCAACTTAACCCATATGGTATCTATTTATTTACCAAGATAATTAAAGAGGGTATGTCATCTCCGCATCAAATGACACACAAAGTGAATACTACTAAAAAGCTTTAAACTTGTTTTTGGCAAGATCTTTTTTCTTTATTTATGACAGTCAATTCCAAATCTACCAACCTTAATTAATTAAAAGTAACTATTAAATGTATTTATAATATTTCACTTAAAAAGAACGCTGGGAAAAATAGCTATCTGTCTGAATAATTTTTAACTTAATTAAGAGCCAGAATTATATTGCCTTTCTTCTACTTAAATAAATTATTTATCTGAATTGTATTCGATAAGGTTAATCTGGCTCTTAAACATACCATATTTTTTTGTAAACCCCCTTTAAAATTATTTTCTTCTTTCGCAGCTGCCTCTTTCCGCACTGGTCGATGCCCAGCGTTATGATTCAAGCAGAACTGCCAGATAAACTCTACATCGAATACATACTCATATTCTACTACTGGCAGCGCCTGGAGTCGGATGAGTCGGTCAAGGAACGAATCGTAGAGTTTGCCGAAAAGTTCATGAGACCCTCGAGATCCCTGGCCTTAAGAAGTGTCTATGCCCACTACTTGCCAACATTTCCAGACCGAAGCACGGCCACGCGAATCATATTGAACCATCTGCGCAAGAGTAGCTGCACCAGTTTGCATGTGGTCAGCAAGGTGGACAACCGACCACCGCAGTCCAACGAAGTGGTTAGTTTGCTCGTTTCATTTATGAATATGCAGATAGTCCAAGTCTAGTCTTAATTATCATCCCAAGATAGCAACACAGTGAGAAAAAGTTAAATTATTCGGTCTTGTTATATATAAAGAAGTGTTTTAGTTTAATGATTGTAAATCTTTAATATGAATTTCAATGACTGGATATCAAAGTAAGCTTCCTTCATCGTGTTGCTCTTTTTGGCTTAACTATGATGTCTTAGTAAAAGGTCTGATTCGGACAAGCGAGTGGGGCAGAAGCCACTGCCGGCGCAGTTAGTCGCGTGACGGGCAGTGGCCGGCTCCATTCCGCTGTCCCAAAATGACTACAACCTTAGCTGAGTGCCCCACAATATTCCATCCATGTTGACTTTGATCGTGCACTATTTCTCTTACATTACTTGTTGAACTTTCGTCCTGACAGGTACTCAGCTCCGATGATGAAGACAGTTGCCCTATGTGGGACATATCGGGTACTCCGACTTCGTCACTAAACAATCATCCGCCCGTTTTCCTCCAGAATCTCTGCCAGAATGCCCGTCAGTTGGAGCCGTGCAAGCGGGCCAATGCCCTCTTTAGCGGCATTGACAACTCCATTGAGATCGTAGAGCTGCGCGACTCTGACGACGATGTGGAAATGTTCTCGGTGAACTTCAATGTGCCTGCCAATGTGGATGGCATCATCTCAAACTCCAACTCCAACGATTCGGCGAATCAGGCAGCGACAACGGTCCTCGGCGAGGATGACTCCGTGCCCGTCACTCGGATCTATCCCAGCAACCTGCGCACGTACGAAAGGGCGGTGATTCCACCCACCACCTACACAGTGCCGCGCATTGTGAACAGTTACAGCTGCCGCCGAGATAGCCTTCATTTGGTGTCGACCACAGCGCCGCATCTCGTCGATCAGTGCGTGCAGACCTTGGAGGAGGAAGAGCCGGATCTGATTGAGGAGAACCCATACCCCAGTGCCCTCAGTCAAAACTTCTTTCCACGGAGCAGCAGTGCCAGCGATGCCAGCGGACAACGAACCCCATTGTACCACTGCCGTCAATCTTCTAGTCAGAACAGCAACTGCAGCGAGTCGTCGCTGCTAAAAAAACAGGTTACCTTTAGTCCCCGGCATCTGGGGGCCACTGCCCCGAGTGCCAAGGCAGGCGCATCCAAGAAGCCATCCATAAAGCAATACATGACCAAGTCCTCGGTGAGTGGTGCAGGATCCCTCCGCTGGAAAGCAGGTATGCCAAATATGATAATTATGATTTTCATAAATTAACTATAATCTCCGTCCAGAGCACCATAAGGCCAGCGCGAAAATGTTCGCCAAGCTAGATGCCAAGATCAAAGCCAGGAATGAAGTCAAAAATGTCGCTGCTAGCCAGCTGACACCCACCACCAGCAACGCCTCCAGTGGCACATCCACCAAGATCTCAGCCACGCCGACCCGCATCCGGGCAACGCCGCGTGGGCAAAGAGTTGCATTGCCTACGCCACCAGCTTCAACGCACAGTTCGAGCAGTCCTTGCCAGATACAAAGTGTATCGACTGACAATCAGAGCTCCAGCGATTGGGGCTTTAGTCGTCGCTGTTTGTCCAAGGCTGATGGCGATGAAGTGAGCTACTATAACCATCTGCTCACTCTTCAGCGCGAGAGCATTCGCCGACGTAGGTTGAACAATCAAAAGAAAAAGGTAGATAGAGCCAACCACGAGGTGGAGAAGCTGGTCGATCAGAAAAAGCTGCTCAAGCAGGCCACGAAGCGATGCCGGAAGCTTCGTGTCTTAAACGCCAAGCGAAGAAAGGAAGTTCAACAGCTGGAGGAGGACTTGGCCATCATTCGGAAATCAGCGCCACAAAGGTTGCCCCAAATAAGACTGAAACGTTTTAATCTCAAGAGCCTGGTAAGGTCAAAAAGAGCAGAAAAAGCGGATACAAGCAGGAAGTTACAGGAACAAACTACCCAGAAGGAGATGGACCAGCAACGAGAAGTGCGGAAACGCAGCAAGGATCAGAAGGTGCCTGAGGAGGTGAAGGAGCTGGAGAAACCAGAGAATATAGAGACGAAAAAGCAAATGGAAGAGAAGGAGGAAGTGGTGAAGCGCCATGAGCATCGTGAGCATGAGCATGAGCACGATCAGGAGCATCAGCAATTTCTGGAGGAGCAGCTGCTACAGGAGGAACATCAACTGGAATTGCACAATCAACAGCAGGCAGAGGAGAAAAATTTGGTAGAGAATAAAAACGAGACTGAGGATGAGCAACTTCAGGGGAAAAATGAACACCAGCCAGGAGAAGAGACACCTCAGGTAGAGGACCCAGACGAGGAAGAGTTAACTCAGCACAAGGATCAAGTTCAGGCAGTTGATCAAGACGAAGAACACCGAAATCACGAGGATCAACATCCAGGAAAGGTAAAGATCCTGGAGAAGCAACAACAGGACAAGGAAAATAAAAAGCAGTTAATGGATAGCCAACAGTTTGAAAATAAAATCGAGGCATCTCCGAAACGGAAAAAGCCCAAGCGAAGGCGGCGTGTAAAGCGGGCTCTTTGGACGCACATCAAAAATAAGAAAAAGAAGCAGGTGCTTTTAGCTTACCCATTACCATTTGAAGCAGATCCTGCGCTCGAAACCTCTCCCATACAGCCAGAACCAGCTCCAGATGAAGAGCCAGCCCCAGTTGCCGAGATCACACCAGAGCCTGCCTACGAATTTGACCAGGACATGGTGCCCGAGGTGGGCAACGAACTGGAGATCGCTGCTCCTGTTCTAGCGGACGAGGACGAAGACAGCAGTGCGATACTTTCCCCGTCACACAACCTTGAACTTGTGACTAGCCATGTGCCCGTGTACTTGCTCAACGGCGAGAGTCGCGATGTCAGCACGCCATTGTCCAGCAGTGCGTTTAGTGCCAGCGGATCAGAGCCATATGCCACATCGAAGGATTAGTTTAGGAAGCCCCCACCAAAACCCATTTCTTGTTCCAGTTGCCGATCCAATCACAATGATCATGGCCTGCAATAGTATTTATAATTTTCTGTTGAAGAGACTTCTGTAAAACTGTTTGAGCACTGTAATACTTAGGTTTATTGTAGTTAATTAGCAGTTGTTGAAAGTTTTAATTTCTATGTTTACATTTTTATTTGCAATACACAATTCCCTTTAAGTCAACGCGTACCAAATCCCCGGCATCATCCATGTCAATTTTAAGAAATAAAATGAAATTATTAGTGTACATTGTGCGTAAAATAATAATCAAAGCAGCAAGTGTTTTAATATCCATTGGGTGAATTATATCTTTGATTTCGCCTGAAATAGGTAGTTGGCGTTTCATTTTATTATTTTTGATGTCTAAGAAATTCAAAGTACTTTTCCTAATTAATTCAATGGAAGTTTAAGGCGAAGCATTTTGTCAGCTCCACTTAAATAATCTTGACAACCTTTAATATCGAATCGGAAGGCACAGCCACAAACATCAAAGGAAGCTATCGATGAAAGCACAACGAATATATTTTCTACGAATTAAATGATTACGAGTCTGCTTAGGAGAAGTCTATGGAGAGAAAAGAGAGACACGTCCAAGGTAGGCAATCCATTGAAAAGTTGTCGAACAATCGGTAAAAACACTTTCCACAGGTCGCAGCATAGTACTCGAACGACAGGAACGCGTCTCGATTGAGGGACGCCAAAGGATCTACATCAAGAACAACCCGGCGCAGGTGAGGGAACTCTACCGACATCCATCGGTCGGAGTTCCCGGTTCCGCCTCCGAACGGCCAAAGTTGCAGCGCTCGTCCTCCTCGTTGGGCCTAGAGAAAATCCAGCGAACCCGCCAGCAGGTGAATAGCCTGTACCGGAAGATCGAACATGAGATAGAAAGGTTGAAACACTTCCGCAACTACTTCCTCAAAAGCAAGGAGACCAGTAGCAAATCCGGAAGCCCGGAGATGGCAAGCGCTAGGGGCATGACTTGGGGGCAGAGTTTTGAGGCCAATCAAGCGAGAGTCAGTCCCTTAGGCGCTAATAGAAGTCCGGTTTCTGGTTCCAAAGACGTGTTTTCGGGGTCCCGCAAACCAGAAAGCAAGGGACCCAAATGCCGCACCATTGCAGTGAAGTCTTCGCCAGCAATTGATCCCCCGGAACTCTCCCGAAGAGCCAGTGGTGGATGCTGTTACTGTTGCGGAAACTGCGAACAGAACCATCGTACTACGTATCAAAACAGCTACGGTAATGGCACCTCTCATTGCAATTGCTCCTGTAACTGCAATATGGGACAACAGCAACACTTCTCCGGCTGCAGTGGTTTCTATGGCCAGACTTCACCCAATCAAGGTATGCAGTTTGGGATACCTTACTGCATATGTCCACGGCAAACCTGCCAACGAACGGTCACAGATCTGAACACCCAGGAAACCTGTCGACATTTGTGCTCCAACCTTTTGCCGGATCGTGCTTTATCACCCAAAAATCAAGGTAAGCAAAGGGAGTCTTTATCCCGAACTAAGTCCCGGGAGGAAAAGAGTCCAGACAGATGTAAAAAATCCACAACCAACAAGAAACTGGAAATGAAGATCAGAGCTGGTGGTACCACCATTGATTCCGCCTCATTGGACCAACACAAGGTGCAGAGTCATAAAAAGTTACTGAATGTCAACCTGAAGAAGGAGCAAAAAACTTCAGAGGATCGCCGGCAAGGAAAGCCTAAAGCGAAAACCGAAAATGTTCTCGTCAGTGATTTTGTGTCTTTAAAGGATGCCAGTGGTGCAGCTGCTCCATCAAAGATGTGCAGCGATGAGAAAACGGATGACACTAAGGACCGAATGTACCAGGATTATTTTAATCTGTACGATCAGGAGAATTCTAAGAGTGAGCTCGGTGGATGGTCAGGTGTGGAGGCAAATCCCACCTACACAAGAATGTTACTTAAAGAAGAGATCAAGACGGAAGTGGACCAACAACCTGTTAAAAAACAGTGTGAGGACCAGATTGGGGCAATGAACAGCTCGCAGGAAGATACAAAAGTTCAAGGATCTATTGAAGATATCTGCTGTTGCGACGTTGATCAGAATAAAATGGAAGATCACAGTAGTACTGATGAACAGCTAATATCTATAAAAAATCTCTGCTGCTGCGAAGAATTCAATGAAGAAAGTACTCGTCAGAATGAACAGGAATCTGTAACCGACAATAAAATGGGTGATCATCACCAATTGACTGACGAGGTATTACCCACGTCTTCTCCTAAAACTGAAGATTGTCATTACTATGAAGAGAAAAATCCAGGTCCGGCAATCGAAGATGGTGGCTACGAGGACAGGAGCTACCGATCTCGGAAAGATGTTGGAACCAACTACGGTTATTCAAAGCCAAAGGAAGCTGATAACCGGTACTTGAACGATTCCAGATCGGTTGCTCCCTGGAATTACACCAATCCCGTAAAATCCGATGACAACAGATACTTGCATAAAACTAGAAGTGCCTCAAAGGCGAGTCGCATCATGTATCCCCAGCAATTTAAATCCTTGAGGAATAAGGATAAAGACTGTAAGGTCGTAAAACAGGTAAGGCGGGAAGTCTCAACAGAGCGAATCTTTGTGCAAAATATTCCGAAGGATGTTAGCCAATTAAAAACTCACCCTTTTCAGCGGTCAGAATCTCCCCAGTGCATTCAAAGCACTAGTTATGCATCGTATGCTCCTCGAATTCGGGGAAGTCCTCCAGAGAGACATGTCCAAAGAGAAGCGAGGAACACCCAGACCGATATTCCATGTCGGGAGGAAAGACGTACACAGACAGAGGCGCAAGCCAGGTGCGAGAAATCATTGCAAGTGTGCCTGGAACAGCAACATCACCCCAAACAGATCGATTTAGCTCCGGATCCACCACTTCCAACTCCATCTCGAGCCAAGTATACCCCTTTACACCATGCAAGTGAAAGTTTCGAAACTATAGCTCAAAATCAATATTACGATAATCGATCGAGGCATAGCGATAAACCTTACAACGAAGAACATAATGATACATATAATTTGCAAAGCAGATCTCATAATTCCAAAGACGAATCTGCGATGAACTATCCCGATAGAATGCAACGTTCTCCCAGGACTCAAAACGAGCTGAGAAAGGATGCCAATTATAGGTTAGGATATGGCAATGCCTATGAAATAAGTGAGCGAGGGGCGTTGGCTTGCAGGCAAGAGCATCTAAATGAACATTCTTATAGAACACCAATAAAAACACAAAAAGCGCAAAAAGATTCACCGCGTCCATTTTATAAACAGTCTAATCCAAGAGAGCTTCAAAATTCCGAATTAAGGCAGTACAGTCCCAGGACACCGAAAGAGTCTTATAATCCAGTTAGTCAAAGAGCTTTGAAAATGAATGAATGCTATGATTACATATCACCACCAGCTGTCGCAGATTTTCGAAGTACAAGTCCCAACAGAAACCATTCTCTCAATTACAAGTCTTCGAGTTCATGTTCTATTGAAGATCCCAACGAATCCGATCGTAATCAGTGCTCCGAATGGCAGGAAGCCTACGAATCCCAGCGGAAAATTCAAAGCATGCGTAGAAATGCTGAGTTTTTCAGGGATCCCAACACTGAATACACAAGTTTTCCCGATCAAATTCAGACGAGATGGGTAGAGACTCCAATTGAGTACGAGGAGCAGCGGTTGGATAGTCCTCGTAAGGTTTGTGATCAGCTTTCCCCAAGGTCGTGCATGTCTTCTTCCCCGAGACGCCATCCACGCATTGAGGAGGGAGAAGTTCCTGTTTTGGAGACTATCTGCGACAAGCGCACTCGGACAGTTACCTTTGAAGACGAATGTGGGGATCTGACTAAGGAGGAGCTTGTGCAGGAAACCTGTCACAGTCTTATCGATTGGAAGCGGGCCCTCAAGTATCACATGGTAGAGCAGGGCAATGAGACGGACAACACGGATGAAAACTACACTTGCAGTAAGTGATTCAGTTATTAATAGTATTCAAGATATTTGAACTATAAAGTAGAATTAATAGCTAAATCTGATTTTGGATTGAACAAAAAAGAATACAAACTTCGGCAAACCGCTTTGTTGCTATTGAAAAACGAAATACTCCATGAAACAACATTATTTCGATTTTTAAGCGTATATGCCTATAGACATAAAATATCGATTTTTGATACATTTTCTGATCGTTCCAATGATATATTTTATAGTCGTCCGATTTTTATAAAAAAACCGTAATTCTGATAAAAAAAAACATAAATTCTCGGAGTATTTCTGTATTTATTATTATTTTCTTTTGTTTTTTTCTTTATTTTTTTTGTTTATTTTGTTTTTACTTTTCTACCTCCAAAAGAAGAAGCGTTTTATCCAGATAGCGTTAAAGCTGAGAGATTTGTTAGCGTAGAAAAGAACGGACAGACGGACCAAGAATATATATACTCTTTAGGCTCGGAAATGTCTCCTTCCTGCATTTAAAAATTTTGAAGGGGATTATAATAACCTTTGAATGGGTATACAAAAAATAAGATGCATAAGATATTTATATAAGGATTTATTTTGATTTAAGTTCCATAATAAATATTGTGCAATATTTGATAAAACTTGTTTTCCCAGGATCTAGCAGTTCGGCAGAGCACACGTGCAACGAGTCCAACTACAATGATGACTACGCCAGTTGCGAGGAGCAGCTTCCCAAGAACGACTACATGCGGGTTCCGCCATTCGATGCCTGTCCCTGCATGTACAAGACCTATACAAACCTGGCTGCCATGTGCCAGAAATAAGGTCGCTTCTTTCAATAAGAGTCCTTCGCCAGAGATTGTCCCGTCCTGCGTTTCAACACATTTTTATTCAATTTGCCAATTTTTCATATATTTTTACAATTTAGATATTCCGGTCAAACATTAAATTTGAGTAAACATATAACAAGCAATAGTTATGCAAATACAAAGTTAAAGAGTCGTTGATGGCACTCGGGGACTAACTTCGCGCGTCCTTGCATGATTGTAACGATCCTCGGCGAGATTCCGACGCAGACTGCTAACCTGTAGCTCTAATTCTTTGGCCAACTCCTCCTGGTTTCTACAGCGTTCACGTTCTTCCTGCAAATGGCTCTGTTTGAGGGGAAATAACATGCATTCATTTTAAACTGGATTGACCAAATTATTTGGATTAAAAAAAGTTATTTAACAAGATAAATAAACAAATTATTTAGGGAGGACTCTAGATGGACGTTAGTTAAATTTTTAATTAAATCCGACCATTTGATTTTCACTTTCAGATTTGAAACTAGAGTTTATTAAAGCGAAATACAAAAGTCTTTTGGTTGCTCTATAAATGTTTTTGTGGAATGGTTACTCAATTGGAGTTGGGATTCTCCATTAAAGCAAACATAAAGTGGTTACCCTTCATAAGCAAACTCACCAAAGTCTGTTGGAGTTGACGTTGCAGTCGCTCCATTTCGTTTTTGGCCCTAATATCACCGTCCTCCTGACGCTGCTGATCGTTATGCAAGCGTCCAAGCATCTGATCCGTGGTTTCGGTGGTGATCTGATTGAGAGCCGAGCTCTGCCGAAGCTCGTCGCGCAGTTTTTCGCATTGTCTTTCAAGCTGAAATAGTAATAATTTTATGCAAATAAATGGAAAATATACCCGAGTTACTCACAAGCACTTTTAAATTATTATTAGTAGAAATGGAAAGCGAAGTAGACTACAGCGGAGAATTTTAGCTAGGATAGAGATACTGATACTGATCGGGACCGGAGCTGAAGCTCACCTTTTTACGAATTTCGTTGACCTCGTTTAGCTCCGCGTTGAGCTTGCCCTTTTCCACATCGAGCTTATCACACAGCTCCTTGCGGGCCTCGAGATCCACCTTCTGGACACGCAGATCATCGCGGGCATTCTCCAGTTCTCTCTCCAGACATCTCGTCGAGGCGCGGGCGGCGGTCAGCTGCACCTCCATATCGTCCAAGGCACACTGGCGGCCCTGCAACTGATCTTTCAAGCCGCGCACCTCGCACTCCAACTCACAGATCTGTCGCCTGCGTTAAAAAATAATAAATATAAGTAATAATAATGTGAAATGTTCATGCTATCCTTCCAAATTTGAATTTTATGTTTTATTTAAATTTTGTTATCTTATTTGATTATTTATAATTAGCTAGTCAGTTTTCTAATTAAAAAAACTCAACAAAAAACTTAAACGAATTTATTTATTTTAATCTAATCAGCTAAATTTAGATTTCACTGAGTGGAGGAGTGTTATGAAACTAGTTCGAAGACATATTATTTCCTGTCATTAAATGTCATATTTGTTTAATGACTTAAACCTTTTCAAGTGCTTAACTTATCAACTAAATCAGATCTATTGTCGACTGATATTGCATTACTTTGAATCCAAATTCAAAGGAATGATTTTTTTTACGTTTCTGTTTGTTTCATACGAAATACTTACCTAAACTCGGCAGCCTCGCACTCCAGACTGTGGTTATTCCCCTCGAGCGTCGCTTGGTCTTGTGTTAGGCACTGATAATGGTCCAGCATCTCATCGCGCTCCTTATCCTTTAATTTAGAGGACACCTGTATGCCGACTCGAGTACTTGGACTTAGGCACTAATTTTAGAAATGAACTAACCTTCTGGGTGAGCAGGTCCTCGGCCTTTTTCACCTCCTGGACGTACTTGTGCAGCTGCTGCTTCATGTTGGCCACCTGCTTCTCGGAGTCCGCCAGCTTGTTCTGCAACGTCCTTACCTCCACTTGGGCATCGCTCAATTGGTCCATCATTCGACTGTGGGGCAACAAATGATGCAGACACAATGGAAAATTATAAAAAACCCCCTAATGATCGATGAAAAAAAGATTGCCCCAGCGCGGAAGCAGTTCTATGATATCTTCACCTCGCTAATGACTTTTTTGCTCACCGATTCTCTGCTATTGCCTCATCGCGGCTGGCTTTGAGTGCCACAATCTGCTGCCGCAGCGTTTTACTTTCCGTCGAGGTCTCCGTCAGTTCTGAATCGCGCTGCCGGTTCCTGTGGGTCAGTTTGCTGCAAGAGAAGAGCAGAGGAAAGGGGGAAATCAATCGGAATCAATGCTGAGGCGTAGCGCAATCAATGCCACTGCCTGCCAAAACCTGACCCTCTTCCGATGACCATAAAGAGGGGGTCAGTAAACAAAGACACGGAAAGAAATGTTGCCTTATATTGAGTTAGAAAAGGAGCAGTTAGAAAAAATCAATTATGTTTTAGAGACTCAAAGTGAACTAAATGATTATAGTTTTTCAATAAACACCTCGAATTTAGACGAATATTGGTTTAATTTTTAGATTTACGACTGATTCACTCAAAATATACCGCGAACCTTAGTTAAATAGGCAAAACAATTATAAAGATAAGTTTCAAGAACTTTCACTAAAAAGAAACTGTTTTTTAACGATTTATTTAAAAAAAACTTCTAAATTGAACTATAAATATAATTTGCACACAATTATTTGATCCAAGTCCTTATTTTTTAAAAGATTTAGTTGTTTGATTTTTATATTTTTAAATTAATTTGTATTTCTGTTGAAAAGTCGTGGGATTGTCAACTGTTTTATATTCAATTTAATAAGTACTTTACAAGTAAGATATTTAGTCGTCTGGCCATCCTTAAGATTTATATTTCAAGATTAAAACATTTATAAATCAAGATCTTGAATCGCAGTGCAGAAGCGGTTAGGCGTATCTAGTATTAACTACAGATGCCAGGCACGTAGCCACACACATCCGCACTTGGCCAGAAGCTCAAGAACACACGGCAGTCAACAGAGGCAGTCAAAGTCGCCATCGGCACAGCCGTATCCATCGTCGTCCGTCAGTCAGTCATTAAGGCTAAACAAAGTTCAAATACCCGTCACTGCCGCTGACGCAGACCTGAGATGGCTAAGAGAGTGGCTGAGACAACCACTGACATTTCGTTGTTACCTTTTTGGCCAACAAAGTGGTTAACACATTTACACAAAACGGGGCTCAGTGCCTCACCTCTGTGGCTCTGTGTGGAAGAGCGGATATGCCAAGAGCGGCACGAGTTGGCTCAGAAACATGGCTCAAACCCGAGGCCCAGACGTTTGTTACCTGCCCAAGCGAACGGACGCCGCGATCGCTTGGTTTAGTCCGCTGGTCAGTGGTCAGTAGTCAGCAGTCAGCAGTCGGTTCTGCCCTAGGGAACCGTCTCAATTTGAAGCAAAGTGAAGCGAATATCTCCGTGATTTTGTTATTGTGCGTGATTGCTGAATCCAAATCAAAACAAATTGAGCCCTCGCCAACCAGTTTGGATATTATAACAACGAAGTTGCAAAAGGTGCGATCGCAAATGAGGGGCGGGATAATCCCAAGAAAGCCAGAATAAATACAACGTGAAAGAGGAAACCAAGAAAATTTGCTCGAGTTAATTCTGAGTAATCCATTGTTGAGCCATCTATGCTGGGTTTATTTTTGGCCTGTTGAATAAAAATCCACTGAGGAAAATAAATAAAATAAGCCACTTAAAAGACTATAAATTTTGTTGATTAAAAATCCACTGAGAGGAGTATAAATAACAGAATACAAAAATCAATTAAAAGATCTGTGGTAGAAGGGAAAACCATTAGTTTTTAAAAATTTGTTTTGTTTGAATAATATTTCACTTATTAAAACGATTTTTTGAATCATTTTTTTAAAGCATTCACTTATAGTTATTCAAATTATTTTATTAGTGTTACAACAAGACCAATTATCTAAATTGAAGAATAGCAGAAATCGTAAGAAACATCTTATTAAAACATAGTATTTAAGATTAATCTGACTGGGTTGTATTTATAAAATTATTGGAATAACGTAACAAATTAATAACTTGATAATTAGGGTTATTATACAAATTAAACAACTATGGCTTAAAAGACTTTTTAATAGCTTTCGTTGACGCTAAGTCTATAAAGCTTAATAAACTGAATGATGGTTTTAAATTAATTCATAACAATATTATAAAAGGTGGGGGACAGCAATAAAATTAAAAAAAACTAAAATCAGTTTATTTATTTGAACTAAACAAAAAAGCGGCACAATAGAAGAAAAACCGAAATAAAAATGAAGTAAAATAAGCCTTAAGTAATAATAATCAAAGTGAAAGAGTGAATAAAAGTGAAAAAGAAAATGTACAAAATTATACTGACATTTTCGGTCATAATTGATAAGGGGTTTCACAAGTAATTCACATCCAATTATGAACTCATTAATTTGCTTAATTAGGTTTATAAAGCCGACCAAAATAAATCAAGTTTATATGCTAACAAAGATGTTGCAATTATTTCTGTGACTAAATAAAGTAAATGGGTCGTAAAGCCAGAACTTAAGCCAAGAAAGTTCCTATTAAACAATTAAAATAAAGAGCAAAATAACCATGACTAAATAAATAAATAATTTCTTTGACTTGTATCTGATTAATAATTTTGTATACTGAAAAGATAAATGATAGTAATACATACAAATGGAGGAAAGAATAGTCGTAATAAAATATATAACACAGAAAACTTATAAATTAAATGCTTTAATGAATAACGTAAGTAGTTAGTAGAATCCAGAAAAAAAGGTTTGATCACAGAATATAACCAAACAAATCTCAGAAATAAACCAAAGACAAAAGCAACAACAATAATAAGCAAAACCCTTTGAGCGGGTTAATTGATTTATATAAAGGCGATCAAATTAAATCCAGTTTGTGTGTTAACCAAGAGCTTACGAAAGGTGCGAAATCGAGTGAAGTAAATGGGCAGGAGAATCCCAGGGAAGCCAGAATCAAACGCTGACGCAGACCGGCTTGCAGTAAGCCGCAGACCAAAAAACCAGTTGCCACTCAATGCAGCGTCTAGCAGCAGCGGCCCAAACGGGCCACAAATCACGCAACCCGTACCGCCCAAGAGTGTGGCACCTTTCGAGTCCGGCGGCGTGATCGCTTCGCTGGCTGTTGCTGTTGCTGCTGCCACATGTTTCATCATCTGCAGGCGGTTACATAAGCAGGCCCCTCGATTATGACCACCAGCTGGAAAAGAGCAGAAGATTTCTGACCAGCCGACGGCGGCTGAGGCGAAGAGAAGTCAAGATAAATGGGTATTTGGGTCATGGTTAACCGCGCGCGAACCGTTTACTGGTTTTCAGTGTTTTGGTTTTGGGTTTTTGGCCGTTTTTGCGGTGGTGTCCGGCCAACATGATAATCAGTTGCCCCAAAGGGTTGGCTAATTCGAATTGGACCCGCTTTAAAGCCCTCCGCTGCAGCGGTGAATTGATTTTTAAACAGCACCGGCGACAATGGAAAAGTCATCCATCATCCGGTTTAATGAGAGCTTCCACCCCCGATATGTTTTCGAAGCAGTGGAAAAATAATTACAGTCCGACTTCCCTTAATTAAACTTAATTTACCTTAAAAATATTATTTGATCTTTTTAGCTTCGTCAATGCTTTATTTTTGGGTAAACAATTCAAAATAAATGACCCTCAAAAATGGCATAATTTATTGATTATACAAATCGGTTAATAATGGTCCAACACAATACAAACAGCTTTGTGATGTTTTGTCACCTTTGCTTTAATATAATTCGATAAGTCAACACAAAACTGCTATGAATATCGCTTTAAGTGTTTCAGATCCCATGGATTTTTACAGATTACAAGCGTGTTTTAGGTTTTAGAGTAACATGAAGTAAGAGATATACAGGTTCATATAATTTATTGACCGAGTGTAGTTTATCCCTTTAACTCTATACTAGAAACCACTATTTTATTTGGACGAACTTAGTGGGTTTTACTGTAGTTCCGTTTCCAGCAGATAGACACCAAAGTCTTAATCAATCACTTTCGTTTTCAGACCCACCATGAGACGTCGCAAGGTGCTCATCTGCTGGGCTGCTCTGCAGGCGGGCAGCTCCATCCTCACCTGCCTGCTCCTCCTGCTGACCACCGGCCAACATCCGCATCAGGTGGCAGCCGGAATTGTGCCACCTCCGTGGAGCGATCCCGCCAAGAATCCCTGCGCCAGCATGTCAGGTGGCTGGCAGCTTCTGTACTGGGCCCCGCTGAAAAAGTGCTTCAAGATCTTCACCCTCGGCCATCCATGTCCGGAAACCATGGAGCTGAGTCCCACGGCGGTGAGTGCGCGGCGGAAGGATCTTCCAGCGGCCGAGTGCCGATGTCCACCGGGCACAGCACTCAGTCCGCTGACCAGTAATGTCTGCTACACGCTGTACGAACGCGGACCCTGCCAACCCGAGGAGTACTTCCAGCCCATGCCAGATCAGGTTAAGAGGTGAGTTTTCCACCCAAGAAATTAAGGTTAAGTTTCCATAAGACCCTATAAAATGCGACTGGTTCGTTCTCTTTTTCACTTTGGCACTTTTGATTTCATCTGTTAAATACATTTTTATACCCTTGCAGAGGTTATTATAATTTCAGTCAAAAGTTTGCAACGCAGTGAAGGAGACATTTCCGACTCTATAAAGTATATATATTCTTGATCAGCATCACCAGGAGAGTCGATCTAGCCATGTCCGTCTGTCCGTCTGTCCGTCCGTCTGTCCGTCCGTCTGTCCGTCCGTCTGTCCGTCCGTCCGTCCGTCCGTTTCTGCTTGAATCTTTCCCAAAAGTTGTCTTTCTATTGCAGGTAGTATATAAGTCGGAACGAGCCGGATCGGGCAACTATATCATATAGCTGCCATATAACTGAACGATCGGAAAAGCCATAACTTTGGTGTTTTTAAAGTTAGGAAGTTGGGATTTTCTATGAGTTTTATTTTTGGCTAATCAATCCGACCTACCGAATTTCATAAGGATCGGACGACTATATCCTACAGCCGCCATAAAACTGATTGATCGGAAATGCCATAGCTTTGGTGTTTGTAAAGTTAGGAAGTATGGGTTTTATTTTTGGCCAATCAATCCGACCTACCAAATTTCATAAGGATCGGCGGACTATATCTTATAGCTGCCATATAAAGGAACGATTGGAAATGTCATAACTTTGGTGTTTTTAAAGTTAGGGAGTTGGGACTTTTTATGAGTATTAAGAATGCATCATATGAATATTCTGGAAGGGTATATCAACTTCGGCTCCGTCCGAAGTTAGCTTTCCTTTCTTGTTAAACGTCTTTTACGGTGCCAGAGAAAGTTCTAATGCACTTAAACAATAACGGAAGTCATATAACGATTATAGCAATTAAATACTTGTAGCATTTAGAGTTGGCGTAAGTAAATCCAGATCCAGTTTTACTTTCACAGAATTGACTTGCCTCATTTTGATAGATCTGACCGAAGGTCATTATTAAATGCAAGTTGATCGCCAATACTCTTAAACAAAAGTTGTAATTTTTCTGTATTACAGATTTATCAAACAAAAGTACATCAAAACGAGATAGGAAACTAGTAATACCACATCTAATGTTTCTTAGAAATTACATGTATAGTGATAGATTTACTTTGTGATTTGAAAGAAACCGTTTAAGATTTACTTTGTGATTAGTAATTTTTAGTGTCGTACAAATTTTATTCCTCAAAAATAATTTTAAAAAAACTACGCTGACTTATTTTTAATAATCACAAAAAAAATTTTAATTTGTTCAATTTGATTGTTTCATTTGCGGGATGATACTGGCAACTAGATAGTTCGTCATTCTTTTTATACAGGTTTTGATATGGTCACCTTGCTATATAAAAATCAGCCAGCCGATGAGCACAATGGCCACATAGAGAAACAGTTTAGAAAGGTTGCCGAGATTAGGAGCAGCAGCACGGTGCTCGCCCAAGTTCAGTGATGCTATGAACCCAAAAGGAAACCCAAGACCAACTGACATGTGAAAGCCTCCACCAAATCCATAGGTTTGGTCTGCCGGAGCTGCTCGTCCTGTCCGGTTTCCTGAGGGACGAGGTGGGATTCTATCGCGAGGATCCTCCTGTCGTGAATTATTCCGTCCGTACAGGGGTATTACTTTATCCTTATCGACGGCCGCTTTGCAAACGGGGCAGAGTTTGCGATTTGGTTGCATCAAAAGCCACTGATGCAGACACGGCCAGCAAAATAGGTGGCCACACATAGTGATCACGGCATCATGAGCCGTGTCCAGGCATATGTTACAATCGAAGAGCGATCCAGCATTATGTTCCCTGTCCTTGTCATCCGGTCTTGACACAATTTCTAACCCACTTGCAGACATCAACGGTCGCTGTTGACCTAATTCTTTTGAAAAAGACTCCTCTGACATGGTTTCGTTTGTGTGTCTTCTCCAGGCAATTTTTTCGTAGCCTACGTGGCCAATAAAAAGTGTTTGATATTTAAATTTAGTTGGAAATGCTATCTAATTGGTTTCTGAGAGCTTACTGAATGTTTTATCTAATACTCTTGACTCTTGTTTAGACTGCCTATTAAAACCATTACATTGGACCATATTAATTGTGAAATATATTTGAGTCTGAAAAATCCTTAAAACCTTACATCAACAAGATTGTATTTGTTTTATCATAATGCAATTTCTTTAAATATGTAATAAATTTATAAATTGTTTACAACTGTACTGATAGTGTGTACAAAAAAATGCCTAATCCTTTCCAGATCCGGAAATCGTTGGGGCACTTGCAAGCGACCACAGCACTGCCCGGAGGACATGATCTTCTGGCCGAGGGACAACAAGTGCTATGCGAGGCACGCCAAGGGTCCCTGCAGTCGTGGAAAACTTCTGGTTCTAAACGAGGACGGACTAGCCGAATGCCGCTGCGAGAACGAGGGCGAGTTGGCCTCGTTCTATTATCCGGCGGAGGAGTCCTGCTACGAGCACTACACCAAAGGACCCTGCTCGACGCCGGGTCACATCTTCTTGCCCGGCGGCCGATGCGATTGCCAGCGGCACTTGCCGCACTATCATGCTTCGCAGCAAATGTGCTACGAGCTGGGTAGGATTGGGTTTTGGTTGGGCTAACCCCCAATGTAGTACTACACTTCGAAAGCAGTATCATCAAACCATTTTTAAGACAATGCTTACACACAAACTATGCAGACATTGTTGGACATGAAATGCAAAAACGTATCTGTTATAGAGAGTTAACTAAGAGCTTTGGAATACAATGCTCTTCCTCACTAAAATAACACTATTTTGTAATATTTTAAATTAATTTAATCAGTTAATTTTATATTTATAAAGTAATAATTAATTTGTGTTTATTAAATTAACTGATTAGAAGTGAGGAATAGTATTTGTATTTTTGAAATAGAAACATTTCTATATACTTTAACCAAATTAAGATATTCATTGCTGCCTCAGAAGTGTTATATTACATCAAATCCAGCTTTCTTTCCTTCTCATGTGTAATATTCCTCCCCTTTCCAGATACTCCTGGTCCCTGCCCGCCGGGCCACATCTTCCGCATACCAGACGATGTCCAGGATACGACTAGCACCCCCCTGCTGCTGTTGCCCCGAGCCCAATGCCAGTGCAAGGAGGGCTATGTCCCCTGGAGCGATGGCATCTGCTATCGCCTGTACACAAGGGGTCCCTGTGGCTCCAGTGAGTTCCTGGTCAACGGGACCAGTTGTGTGCGCAACTTCTGCGGCAAGAACCGGCTGTATTTCCCGGCGGAGGACTCTTGCTACAGGATTGGATCTCAAGGCCCCTGTGCCCTGCACCAAGTGGTGATCTTTGACTTCACCGCCAGGCCATCCATCGATGGCATCTCCTACAACGGGATGTGTGGCTGTTCCGGGGTGCTCACCAATCTGGACCAACAGTGCTCGGGAGAGGGAGCGGATAAGGAGCAGAACATATGCGAATCCACGCCCGGGATGGTGGAGATCAATGGGCAGTGCCACAAGCTGTATAGTCGCGGACCTTGCGGCGCGGGTCAGTGGCTGGAGCCACTGAAGTCGCAGACAACGAATGGCACTTCGATTTTGGCCCATGCCAGTCGGGCCAAGTGCGTCTGCCGTCCTGGTTACACGCCCTCGGAGGCGGATCGGCGCGGCATGAGCAACTGCAGCGCTCCGAGTGTCAGCCTGGCGAGGTATTTAACCAACGAGCGACTCAACTCAAAGTTCCTCAATGATCTGCACTTTGGTGGGGCCACCTAAAACCCCCGATCTTCAACTATCCTCTGTCTGGTTGTGATGACTCCTATTCCCCCTCCGCATGCCTCCCTATTTCGATCTATTCTACACCTTTTCTCTCTGTGTTTTTGTGTTGCATGCTGAGTGTTATTCGATCGATTCGATCACTTGTTATTCAATTAACCATTTTGTTCTCTTTTAGGTGGTTTTTAGAAATATTCGGTTAACGTGTTCGATAAGAAGAGATTGTGCCATGAATGTATTACATCGACTTATGTACGAGTTGTATTTAAGGGAACTCCCCATAAGGCAAATAAAACAATGTGAAAGACTAAACCATTAAAATATTTGTACATTAAAGAAGATTATATTGAACTGTTTTTAAACGGCAATGGATTTGAGTGGTAATTATAGACCTTTTATAAATATATAAATCTGCGAAAGTTCAATCTTTTGGTTTGCCAATATAGTTTTATAAACCTTTGCTAATACTAAAAGCAAATGTGAAATTTTGACCATCTCAGTGTGTTTAAGAACCTTTTAGACAACTACTTTATGTAGCCTTTTAACGAACTCCAGTCAAATTGAAATCTCTAAATGGATAACGAAATTTCTCAACTTACCGAACTTGTTCCTCCAATTCCTTTACGCTTTGCTCCAGAGTATTTCGTTTCTCCTTGCAATCTTTTAGTTCATATTCTAGTTTATAAGCGCGCTCTGTTTTGCTATCCAGTTGAAGCTGTTATAAAGAGCAAATCAATATAAAAATGTCTAGGAAAGTAGAATCAGATGTAAGTACCAGTAGCGTATCCTTCTCGTGTTCTAGTGAAATGTATGTCTGCCGCAGAGCTCCAATATCCGTGCGGAGCTGGGTGACCTCGTTGCGATTGGATTCCCGACTGGAGTCCAAGGTGCTTGCTCGAACATCAGCCGACTGTCGGTGGCGCTCGGCCACCAAAAGTTTACTCTTGTAGTCCGCTATGATGCGCTCATTTTGATCGTTGAGCATGCTGTCCGATAAATTTTTAAATTAATTAATAATAATCATTATAAAATCCGATTAGCCAAGTTATGTATGAAACTGAAATGGCTTTCAGACTACAGTTACAAGAGGGGATTCAGCCATTTGTCAATCTTACTTACGTTATCTGACTGTTTTCTGTTTTTAGCTGATCAATTTCAGTTTGCATGGAAGCGAGACGATTCCTCATCTGAACCAAATCCTCCTTGAGCAGCACCAAATTTGTTTCCGTCGGCAGGCGAGCTGAGTTGAGATCCCTATTATCCTTTTCCAGCCGACGCAGCCTATCGTTGAGATCTTCGTTGCGCATGCGTAGGGCCTGCAGCTCCTCGGCGTGAAGTTGGACGGAGCAAAGCTGTTTCTCCCTCAGCGTATCCCGCTCGCAGCGAACGCGTTCCAGTTCCGACCTGGCACAGTCTCGTTCCCGCTCCACCCTTGCGATGGCGGCCTGGACGCAGTCACTCCGGTTGCTAGTCGCGGTGGAGGTACAGGAGGAAGCAGTGGCCGGCGGAAGTGTTTCATACTGCACGCTTTTCTGCGGCGAGAACTGCATCTTTGCCCCGGGGAACAATTCAGTTCGAAGGGCCCTCAACTCGTCATCTTTGGATTTGATTTGGGCGTGCAGGAAGGCGATCTCCGATTCCGAACCGGACTTACTCATCAGACGCAGATACTCCTTTTGGAAAAAGTCCCTCTCCGATGTCAGTCGTATCTTCTCCTCGTCCAGAGTGACAGTGGTATGCTGATTCTTATCTTTGAGCTCCTTTTGTAGCTCCAAGATCTTGGCCTGCATTTTGTGCAGTTTCTTCTTGTGCTTCTCATTGGTGGCCTCTAGTTCCTCTTCGCGGCGTGTTAAAAGATTTAATCGTTCATTAAGATTGTGCTTATCACTTTGATTGGGTGCAGAACCACCAGCCAGTCGGTGATCCTTGCCCTTCTTCTTAAGTTCCAACTGCAGATGTCGAAGTTCCACCTCTTTGGCATCAATCTCCGCATTGGCCTGCTGTTCTACCTGCAGCGCAGCCTCTTTTAGTTCTTCCAGCTGGGATTGCAGCTTCCTTTTGTCCTCCTCGGAACCCAGAGCCCGTTGCATGGCATCGTGCATCTTGTCCTGGAAGTCACGGACCTGCAACATCAGATCGCTCTTTTCGCGCTGCAGTAGATCAATGTCCTGGGACAGGGCGCCCACCTCCTTGTAGCAGCAATCCTTAGCCAGAGCTGCCGGAGGTCGTCCTCCTGCTAGCATATCATTTAGTCGACGTATCTCTCGATTCCTGGCCTCTACTTTCCGCTTGTAGAACTCAAGTTGTTCTCCAGCTGTCGTAAGGTCATTCTGCATCTTGTCCAGCTCCTCTTGGCCACTGGTTTGGGTGACTGTAACACCATCTTTGGTGGTTGTTGTGGTCTTTTGGAATACCCCAGCATTACACTTTGTGCATTTAAGGGTCGAGGTGACGCTGCCCAGTACAGTTGGCAGCACATTGCCGGAACGTACGGTGGTTATAAAGGGTTTCTTAGCTAGAAAAAATGGGAGATTATTATGAGAAAATAGTTGTATTCATGGGCTTAGCAAGAATCAAAAGTTGTTTAGAAAAGTAGCTTTTAAAGCTATAACTATGACCAAAGGTGTATGATTTTAAAACCTACTTTGGCGACTTATGCCAGTTGGCACCTTTTTGGCCGTGGTGGAAGATACCATTTGCTTGGTGAGCAGAGCGTCCAGTTGGTTTTGAAGTCCATCGTTGTGGCTCTGCAAGTGCTGTTTGTCTGTTTCCAGATTTCGGATCTTGCGTTCAGATTCTGCGAAAAGATTTAACTTAGTTAAAACTAAAAGTAGAATCGATTGGTACTTACCGCACAGGCGCAGCTCGTAGTCCTCCCTGTCGCCCAAGAACTGTAGATGGAGTTCATTGCACTCGGCCAGCAGGCGAGAGTTATCGCACTTGTATGGTTCGACGCCCAGCTCCCAACAGGTCTTCTCCTGCCGAAACAAAAGCCACAACAAAGAGTTTGCTTAGCAACCAATTAAGGCACAACAAATGTAAAAGGACAGTGGCTTCAACTAGCCAAAGTTTCTGTATCCTTATATTTAGAATTATTACTTTTCAGACTTTATACATCCTTGCAGTTTCAAAAAATATTTAATCATTTTTGAATGCCTTCTTCCGATTTTAATAAAGATAAATATGTACCAAAAATTTGTCTCTATATTGACTAACAAAGAACTTATGGAACTTTAGCTGGATCGTTCCTATTTCTCTAAATTTTAGTTTTATAAAATCATATCACGATTATTTCAAGCTGGAATTAAATTTAGCCGGTTAGTTTTTATTTAAAAGCAACTACAAATCCCTGACATATATATGATAAATAGGATCAAACAGATAGCATTTAAATGGAGAGTCTGGTTTTCGTAGTCTCTCTGTTATAAGGTTGAAACGACTGCGTTGCAATGTCATGGTCAAATCTATAGTACCCTCCGTTTGGAAGGGTATAACAAGTTTAGAAGTAAACCGCTTAATAGTATGGTACACCCACCTCCAGCAACTCGGCAACCTTCTTTTTCGTGTCTCTTAAACATTCCGTCGTCTTGATCAAGTCACCAAAAACCGCCTACAAGATAATTCAACAAAAAGTTATGCCAAAAAATAGAAAATACTACAGGGTATGCCAATGTCACCTGAACCAGTGGAATGGCCAAAACAGGCAGTGTTTGGGTGAAACCCATAATGTCCAGCTTGCAGCGCAGGTCCTTGAAGTCGCCATCGTTGATATTCATAGGTAGAACGTACTAGGGACCTATAAACTTTCTAAAACGCAATAAATAAACAAAACGTAATGCGCCAAGAGTCAAACAATCGGATAAGTGTGACCGTCGTTTATCTCGTAAATAATACTTCGCCCCGAATAATGTTCTAAAAAACACAATTTCATTTGGTTTAAGTCTTGGCTAACTTTGGGAAATGACGTTATTTAAATTTAAATTAAATTTAAAATTAAATTAAGTTTTTTTTTAATATGACGTAGATTAAAAGCCAATTTTAAAATCGTTTAGTTTTTTAAAAAACTGGCTGGTTTTTTGACATGATCTTAATGTGCAAAAGATTTGAAATGATTGTACACGCCAAAGTTGTTTAAAACAGGTGTATTTTCTTTTCCAACCATTCACTCAACAACAAAACAATAAAAGTTCTTGAACATAAAAGGCGTCTCATCGTCCGAAATAAAATTACGTTCAGGCTTCTCCGAAGAAAATGGATTTGTAGTCGGTGGCAGTACGACATTCAAATGCCGATTAGACTGGTTGATGAAGTGCACCATGTCCAGAGGAGCCTCATACTTGGTGTATGAGGTCACCACAATGGGGCATTTAATGTTAAGTGCGGCTTGAATGGTGTCTGGCCAAGTGTCCTCAAGGGCGAACCCAGTTGATCGGTATAGACCAGAGTTGAAAAAGCAAACTATTGAGAGAAATCGTTAATTTACAAAAGATTTTTTAAGAAACAGGTTAACTCACCCAAATTTGGTTGAAGAAAATGCGGCTCCTTGCAGTAATCGTGATACAGTCCATTCTCAAAATGATAGTTTACAGTTCTCTGAGCTTTTCGACACAAACGGCAGCACCTAAAAATTATCATTATCTTTTATAACATGGCTCTAAACTGGTAACATTTTCCTGTCTTACTTGATTTTCTTCAGCTGCTCAAAGGATATGTTGTTGGGGTTAAGTTCCGGTCCAATAAAAACCACATTCAGAGTGTTCACGGTGGGCATTATGTGGAGAAGGAATAGTTCCCACTTCTGCAACATATCCACCTCGAATTCAATCTCGGCGCCAATCAAATGCAGAGTCAACTCCTCACAGTCTCTTAATCGCTCGCAGAGCTTCAAGGCGAACCAGGCAGTTAGAGGTCCTGTCGAGACCTGGGTGAGTGCTGCATACTCGCACTCATTGGTAACATCTGTAAGAAATAAAAATATATTTAAGTTTTTATAGTAAAGCAAGTAACTTCAATTAATGTTGACTTCAATTAATGTAAAGCATGTAAGATTATACAATATACTAAGGTAAATTGGTAACATCTATGGTAGCATTATTGGAAATAAGATTATAAAGTATAATAAGGAAACATTACAGGTCAGAGCCAAAATTTACGAAAACGGCGTAAGCAATAGTTTTCTATGCAGGATTGTTTTTTATAAAGTAATTACCGTTTTTCATTATGAAAATTAAAAGTAAAGTAATTACCGTTTTTCATTATGCAAATTTAAATTTTTGTTCTAACTTATTTTACTAGAAATAAAACGTTTGTTAATGTAGATATTAAAGCTCGACCAAACTTTAAAAAGTTGGTAAATTTAAATAGGTGCCACACAACATTTTTCATTAAAAAACCGAAATTGGTTATTTCGTGAACTACATATTATTTTGTGAACTATATATGAGTGTATCTGAAAGCCACAAAAAAATAAACAGCGATTGGAATTTGTACCCAATTTCCAACTGCATTTGTTAGAAAGATATCTCTTACATCTTTTAAAAAAGACGATAATATGTCTTTTAAGCAAAAGGTGTCATTTCAAGGGATCATTAGAGAAGAAAATAAGCCATTTCTCAAATGATTGGGGTAACTGAATATATCTTAAAAGTTATATTATACTTAATGATTTTTTGATTATTCTTTTAGTAAATTGAAAATTCAAAATTTAAAACGTTTAGAACTTTTACAAAATAATTAAATAAATGGAGAATTATACAGTTTTTTTATTTAGAATTTGAATAATGAAATGCAAAAAAGAATGTGAGACTTTCCGGAGTTCCTCTCTCCCCTGGAAAGGCGCTATACTATTTAGTTTTATTAGGCTTAATATATTAAGTATACTTACTAAAATTGAGCTTCTTCATCATGTGCTTGGTGCTGGAGCAAGCCATGGGCAGTTCACTAAGAACCTTATTGGGCAGCGATGGCTCCATCCGCCCGAAGTTTGCCTGAAACATGATGAAGGCCTTGAAGAGCTGGTAGGCTCCGCACCACTTGGCGTGCTCCTTGCTGCGATGACCCGGCTTGTCCTTGCAGAAGGCCCATTCGCCACATCCGCCGCAGATGGACAGGCTCTTGAAGCGGTGCTCCCGGCACTTGCGCTCACTGCAGATCATTGGGAAGAGGAGCAGCTCCTGCTCCGTTGCCGAGAGCGGGCGGTTCATCTCCTTCTCCACCTGGCGAATGCACACGATCCGGTAGGAACGGAACTGCTCGCCACTGAAGTCGCCGCACTTGTAGAACATCTCGTGACCTGCATCCGCCACCCGATAATTTGCAATTAGTGTGATTTATGGTTCGCTGACAGAATGGCCTCACCATTGCGCTCCACCGTTCTACGCAGGGCGAAGCACATCTGGCGGTGCTCCTGGTCGTCTTTCATGTGGCCTCCACTGCAGTAGTAGCTCAGTCCGCAGCGGGAACAGGGTATCCGGGTTTGGCCGCACAAATCCGCCTTGCAGAACTGTTTAAAAGATATTAAATAATATATTAGAATTTAAAAACTACTAAAATAATAATATCTTACTATGAATGTTTAAGCAACATCTTCTTTGGTCACTGATTTGTATTTAATAACCTATCTTCAGTTTTGACTTATAAACTTTGATATTACTGATAAGCTAAATTCGAACTATTTGTATTTATTTTAAGCATAACCAAATTGATTTACTTATGTTTATACGCAAGATTTTACCTACTTGTATTCTTTTTAAGCATAACCAAAATTATTTACCTATGTTTATAAGATTTTTCCATATTTAATAATTTTGTATTTAATTTAGTCACGCAATTAAATTTTGTTTTGATGTTTTCTAAATATTTTATATAGAACTATGGAATGATCTTGTGTATGTATGTAATGGTTAAAATATATTAGTTAAAAGGACTTACATTTTTGAACATTTTTTATTCTTCAAGAAATTATTTGACTTAAAACCTTTTTAAACTATTTTAGAACATGTACCTTGTACCTAAGTTAGTTAATAACACCACCTACATTGCACAATGAGGCCATGAAATATTGCCTTGGCTTGTAAATGTACTCCACATACTCCTCCGCCTCCTCATCCGAGGATTCCACATCGCTGGGCGGTGCTTGGCTGAAAAGCTTTCCGAGATTGCTGAATAGTGCCGCTGCTGGGGACTCTCCACCTCCTATTTTTAAATCCCAAAATGATTAAGGCAATTCATTTGTATAAATAAACTCCACTAACCCTTTTGCAGCTTGCTACCCAAACATTTGAGCAGCTCATCCATTTCATCGGCCTTCACATCCTTCAATGGTTTTCCTGGTGTCTTGGATTCTGCTGGGGTTTTTGGAGTTTGTGAAGTACTAGGAACCTTTGGTTTCCTTTCTTCAGCATTGGTTTCCTTTAATTGGGTTACTATTTTGGCTTGATTATTGACCGGCTCTGCTTCACTGATTGCAGCTGCCTTGTTTTTGGCCAACAATTTCCTGCGCAATAGTAGCTGTATTAGCCTGATGGTTTCGTTCTCTTGAGGATTTTCCACCTGGGAATGATCACTTTTCGGTGGCATTTCCACCTGGGAGTTTCCACTTTTTGGGGGACTTTTCAACTGTGGGCAATCTGTTTTAAGAGGACCTTCCACTTGAGAGACATTAACTTTTTGAATAATTTTTGGTTCAGCGTTATCACTTTTGGGAGCAATGTCCACCTGAACGACATCACCTTTAAGAGAATTTTCCTCTTGGTCTTGATGCACCTGGTTGATTTTGTTCTTCTGCCGATTCCGAATCCTTGGCTTCTTTTTGTGGACCCCCGACTGATTCATATTTTTGGGATTGAGTTATTCCGACTGCTAAATTAGCTAGAGCACGTTACCCAATTGAACGAACAATGAAGAATGCGCATTGTTCTTGTTCTGAGATTTGCGATCTGCCTCGATTCAATTGGCCACCAGCCATCGCTTCTCCTCGCGGACGCAAGCCCAAATGTATGCCTGTCTATTTTTGTTGGGCGCGGGCCGATGTCTGACAACGCCAGCCGGTATCTGAATCCGTATCTGAATCCGCATGGGTTGGCGTCCATTATTATTCTCGAGTACCAGCGTTTGATTAATTCTCTGCCTTACTAATTGCGTCAACAAGCAGAAAATTACACTAAAAGCTCTTTCTCTGGTGCTCTTTCGAAATTTATTTGTCAATGTAATCCAACAGATAAAATTAAACAAACCTTTGCACTTTTTTTAAAATTTTTTTTTTTTTGGTTTGGTTTGTTTCTCAAAAAATTTGCTTTATAAAATATTTAAGTTTTTATTTTGTAATTGGTTCTTAAATTTATTTATACATTTAAATGTTATTAAATCAAATTCTATCCACAGAAAATCATTTTTCCGTAAGACGTTTTGATTTATTTTTGTATTTAAGTCAAACATGTATATCCCAAACATTTGAATTTTTATTAATGATAAAACTAAAAATTTAAAATCGAAAATTAGTTCACGATCTAGAACCTAAAAGCATTACCGTATTGATCTGCATGTCATTAAAAATAGAAAACACTTGTTTAGACGCCTTAACTTTTCCAAAATTTAGTTGACACTTTCTTCGGTGACAAAAAGCTTCAGTCTATTTTTAAAACAATTGTCTACCGACCATACCACAAATTCAAGTTTGAAGGAAATGAAACAAAAATTTTGAGAACATAAAAGCTGAGGCCATCAACGTCGAAGGAACATAAAAAACTAAATTATTTGGTTGAAAAAGCCTAAAGGTTCTAATAACAGGATATAAACATTTAACACCATTTGAACGTAACATTTATTTTATTTCACAGAACAACTAAAGAAAATTTGTGAAGATTTATTATGGCGTTAATCTTATGGCACTTCAAAAACCATATTCAGGAACACCTCAGAATTTCAGTTTGAAATTTGCGCGGCAAAACACACAATTTCCGCTTTTGAAAGACGCCAAGGGAGGAAAAGGGATAGTGATATTAACATTTGATTTTCGAACACCTATTTCCAACACTATTCCAGCAGCCCACAAAATTCAAAATAATAATCAAGTATTTTTATTTATTTCATTGTTTATCTAAAAATATATATATATATATATGAATAAGGTAATTGCTTAAATTTTGTTTTGTTTGCTTTAAATATGGTTTAAATTAAGGACATGAACTTAAATATTCAGAATATAAGCAATTATTTATAGTCGTGTTTTGGAAAAATTATAAAATATTTTTGCTTTCGATTTTTTCTCTTTATAAAGTCCAAAATTGAAATTTGTATTCACCTTCATCGGGTAAAATTCAATTTTTCAATGCCTTTACTAAAAATAATAGATAATAAAACATACGAAAAACTTGAATCCTGAAGCATAAGAATAAAAAGTATAATTATTTTCTATTCCGAAGGAGATTGAAATAATATTTAACTAAATATAACTAATTTGTAAAGTTTTATAAGTGGATTTACTTTATGCCACTTCGAAAAACAAAATAGTGTTCATATCAACACTACCCTATTATACACACCCACCAATGCTCCTGATATTGCAAACTTCTGCAAATTGTTATAACTTGAGCCTGGCTGCTAATCAGATCTTAAACACGTTCAGGCTTAGGGATCAGTTCCTTAATTCACTTGTGTCCATTGGTGATATCAACGCCTCCGCAGGCTCCTTCGCCATCGGATGTGCTGGAGCTACCATTGCAACCATTCGAAATTCCGTTCTTGGGTGTGCTTGGGATTTTTAAGATCCTCAGCGATTTGGTTGCCCCGACCAATCCCACAACACTATCTTCCTCGTCCGAAGAAGCATCGGATAACTGGCGGGGCGACAGGCGGCAACCGCGCTGAATATATTGGGTCAACCGATCCACGGAAGCCAGGATCAGGCCTAGGAAAGGTGGCGAAGGCTTCAGTGGACGCGACAAATACTCTGGATGATATTGCGTGGCCACGAAATACGGATGACCACTGAGCTCAATGATCTCCATCCTGGTTTTGTCTTCGTCGGTGCCCACAAATCGCATGCCATGCTCCTCCAGCCGCGGTACATACTTGGGATTAACCTCGTAACGATGTCGATGCCGCTCCTCCACTGTTTTGGGATTGCCATACAATTTACGGGTGATACTGGGACCCTCAGCGAAAACCGTAGTTCGTTTGCCCAATCGCATAGTGCCACCGAGTTGACCTGTGTGATGTTCTGGCATATCAATGACTAAAGCATTGGCCGTATTCGGATCGATTTCCGTTGTGTTGGCATCCTTAAGACCCAGTTTACTGCGGGCAAATTCAATCACTGCAGCTTGCAGACCCAAACAGATGCCAAGCAGCGGCCTCTGATTCTCTCTCGCCCACTGGCAAGCTCGGATTTTGCCTTCCATGCCGCGGGAGCCGAAGCCGCCTGGCACAAGGATACCGTCGCTTTCGCACAGCTTTTGCCACTCCTTGTGGTACTTGCTCGGCTCAGTCAGCTGGGTTTCCTCCTCCAGCTGGCACGATTCGATAAAGACCAGTTCCAGTTTGCGATTCGCAGCCAGGGCGGCATGTTGCAGTGCCTTCACCACGGAGGCATACGAGTCCGCAAATTTGGTATACTTGCCAACAACGGCAATGCATACTTCGCGTCGAACAGTCTCTGTGCGGCGTGCCAAATCACGCCACTGCTGCAGACATCTGAAATCAGCAAGAGTTACATATTAGTACAGGTATTTCAAATTATGAAGGCCCATTTACACTTACTTGGTCCTCTTGCTCATGTCAATATTGAGCTGCAGTCGCTCGTTAAGGTATTCGATCACTCCATTCTGCTCCATTAGCAGCGGAACATGATAAATGGAGCTCAAATCGTGGATGCATATAACCTGATCCGGACCCACGTGGCAGAAGTTGCTGATCTTCTCCTTGACCTCCAGTCCGATGGGTTTCTCTGATCGGCAGACAATCAGATCGGGACTCAAGCCACAACCCCTTAGTTCCCTCACCGAACTCTGGGTGGGTTTCGTCTTTGGTTCTCCGGTGGCCTTGGGCAGCGGAACCAGTGATACATGCGCCAAACAGAAGTTTTCCCGCTTCACGCGGAACTGGAACTGACGGAAAGCCTCTACGAAGGGCATACCCTCGATATCGCCAATGGTTCCCCCCAATTCCACAACGCACACTTGTGGCTTCGAGGAGCCCTGGACAGGAGTCTGCGCCACGCGCTCCACCCACTCCTGGATGGCATCCGTGATGTGTGGAACAACTGTCAGACAAATAGAGGGGATTAGTATTTATTTAAGTTGTACAGGTTTTTATTTGCAGATTTAGGAAAAAAACGTTAAAAATACAGCATAGAAAAGAAAACAAAAATTGAAAAAAGGGATACGAAAAATATGTTAAAAGGACAAACAAAAAAACTGTTAAAAAATTTTGTTTATAAAACTTGAATCTTTACAATTTCTTGCATAATACACTTAATAACTATTTACCTTACCTTGTACGGTTTTTCCCAAGTACTCGCCAGTGCGCTCCTTCTCAATAACCAACTTGTAGATCTTGCCCGTAGTTATGTTGTTGTCCCGATGCAAGGTGATATCCAGAAATCGTTCATAGTTTCCCAAATCCAGATCCACCTCGGCGCCATCATCCAAAACGTAAACCTCACCTGGGAAATAAAAAGAAAAGCAATTAACACGTGTTTAAACAATTCCAGCCCTCCCATAACAGAGAAAAAACTTGAAACCTTTTAATGTTACAATTTTATTTCCAAGGTATTTGTGCTTAGGCGTAAATGGCGCACTCCCAGCTTCCCTTGGAGTGGCGCTCAACTAGAAATCAATCAAGTAGCATGGCATGGACACAAACTAAGTATAATCCTTATGATCTAGACTACAGGGCGTATGTACAGTCTTGGTCTTAATCTATTCTTTCTGGGGTGTTCCACTACTTGGACTCCTCGAGATCCTCCTTGTAGAGCTCCTTGAAGATGAGCTTTTGTATCTTGGTGCGTATACGTAGCTTTTGAGCAGCCGTCAGCTGCTTCATGTACGGATGTAGGCTCAACAAGTAGTGGTAGTCATCGTCCTCCGGTACAAGTGGAGCATCCATCGTTGAGGATCCATTAAAGTTGCTATCCTCGGAGAGACGTGGACGCTTCAGCTTGAGGGCAGGTATCAGTCCATTGGCATAGGAGTGTTGGGTGAAGCTGAGATGATCTCCGGTTCCTCCCACGGCAGAGGATGCACCGAAATCCTCATTTCGTTCTTTGGCCGCATGATGAGCTGCTGCCAGAGTGGCCAGCGGATGATGTGCCTTGTTGTAGAGTGGCGGTGGCGACACCGATCTCTTGCCACCCATGGGCGTTCCATTGGAGGAAACAGATGAAGCAGATGTAGTCGTTGCCGGCGCCAAAACAGCCGCTGATCCGGGTTGTTGTACTTGTGCGGATGTAGTGGTCACCACTGGCGGTGGTGAACAGTGAGCAGCTGGAGGTTCCACCAGCATTTGCAATAAAGGAGCTGCTGGAGATGGCTGTTGCGATGGAGGTGGCGGTTTTTTGCTCAGATCCTCGGCCTCTTTTTCCAGTTCCAACAACTGGGCACGCAGTAATCCTGCCTTGATCAAAGCGTGCTGATGGGCCTCCTCTTGGGCTCGCAAAGCTCCTGTGGCCAGTGGTGTGGTGCTCACTTGGTTCATTTGATGGGCAGCCGGTGGCGTTGGCATTGCCTCCTCCACGGTGGTTTCGCTGGCTTCCCCATCCCCATCCGCCTCCGCCTCCATGTCCTCCTCATCGTAATCCTCGTCGCTGTCCTGCAGGCGACGTATTAATCCGTTGGTCAAATCTGGTTCCACCACCGTCTTTTCACAATCCTCGCTCTGTTGGTTGAAGTAGAAGGACTGATCCTGCTCGTTTTTGGGCAAACGATGGCGCATGTGATCAGCTATGGTAAGTAATGAAAATAAATTTCAGTAAAGATATTTTTTTTTTAAATAACTCATAAAACTCACTTAGAAACAACAATGCATAATAATGCAGCCACTTGGACTCGAAGGTTGCCGGATCTACCATAAAATCACCGTTATCCGCTCGAGGTATCCTTTTATACTCTACTCGAAAATTGTCTCGAAGTCCCTTCCACTTGGCCTTGAGCACGATCTCTGCGAGAGAGAGTAGGATAACGATAGAAACCTCTTTGCTCACGCTTGGAGTCAATGTCAGTGTTGCCAACTTGGCGTTTTAATCGCCAAATCTGATTAAGACAGGAAACTATTTAATTTCTTTTTTTTATATATTGAAGATGCTGCTTTTTGTTTTACTATAACATTTTTTGAGTCAATAGAGTAATTCACTTGTGCATATTTTTTAAAAACTTGAACTTTAAATGATTTAATTTTTAGAATACATAAATATTTTCTTTGCCCAAATTATGGAAAAGGTTTTTATTTATTGGGAAAAATGTTCAATTATTAAAATAAGTTTTAAATATATAATAAATAGATTTTAATAAAGTAAACTGAGTAATATATGACCATGGTCAACGAAACTAAAACTTATATATTTTGTTTTATATCTATTAAAATTAAAAAAAAAAATTACCAGGCTGCGTTTGGAAGAAAATAAAAATATTTAAGCTTTTGTTTTCCTCAGACTCTTGGCAATTAAATCTTTAAAGCTATACTTTTTGACAACGGTTGGCAACACTGTGAGAACTCCTTTGGCCATATGCTTATACTTACTCGGCAGCTTGTGCGCTCCGCTCAGCTCGTCCCACATCTGCTCAAGGAAAGCCTTGTTGCAGTGGAAGTTTCGGTTCCAGATGGCTGGACGCTCCTCGATGTCGTGAATGAACTGCTCCACATTGAGCACAATGGTGGACTTTTTTGGCGCCATCTTAAGCGCTCAAAGTTGGGTCACTCTTTCTTTTTTGTCTTTCTTTCGCGCGCACTTTTTTCAATGGACAGCTCCTGCTGTTTCACTTGTCCGCCGCCTAACGGTGAATGCCAAATGCATGCTCATATGGGAAAACACACACCACGACTAACTCACTGAGAGGAAAGAGAGCAATCGTTTATTCTTTGGTCACTCCAGTCCAGTAGCGTAAGAAGGAATTCCTCAGAGGGGAAGGGGTAGCTGTTCCCTTCCTAACCGCGAGTTAGTTGCGATCCATGACCATCAATGAGCATCTAGTGCTCGTCAAACTGTTAACACAATAACTTCATTAAGATTCCTTCCTTAGGCCTAGGCCCAAAAACGAGCTGGGAGCGACAGGAAATGCGCTGCTCGCTTTGCTCTGCTCTCCCCAATCGCCCATCTCCCTCTAGCTCCCCCTCTGCTTCCACAAGAAGAAGAAGAAGTCGGGGCAGGAAAGAAGCAGCGAAATCAAATTATAAACACGCCAGGCCAGCGACGCAGAGACAGACAGACAGAGACGGTCGACAGACGACCGAGAGACCAGCCAACAGTTACTCCACGAGCCTGCTGTTCCCATTCCCTCCATCCCGCTCACGCTCCCGGTTCCGCTGCCAATGATTCTCCCGGCCCCCTCTCTCACATACTGCACTGGATACACTCGAAAACAATGTGCATAAAATTAACTTTGTTTGTAGTTTGGGGTACTATACTTAAAAAACCAATGCCACTTCAGTGACAGAGGTTAGTCTTTTAAAACAATAAAACTATCCTACATTTTAAATTATTAAAACCTACTAAATTATAAAGGATATGTAGGAATCTGTGACAAATACGGAGATCTTTCTAAACTAAAAATAAAGTAAGAGTTTATTTATAAATTGTTCATGAAAAAAAAAAAAAAATTTTAAGTTTTAAAAGTTTGAATCGATTGAATTGGTTTCATAACACTCAAAAAGACCCTTAAATATGTTTTTCTTTATTGTACCACTAACCATATGGTTAGTAATTGTACATAGGCTAAGTAATAATATCAGTAAATTGATCCCTACTCCAAAAGATTATAAGAAAAGAAAAAAAAAGTTTTCTCGTATTTTAAATATTTTGAATTCTAAAAAAAAGCAATTAAGAATCTATCCATACTTAGTGCATGAAGCAGATACCAAAGATTTTATGAAATGTAATGGACCAACTGGCACTGATATTTTCCGAGTGCATCGTCTGGCCCCAGTGCATCGGTGTGGCTTGTGGGCTTGCGAATGTGTTAGTGAGTCAGGCGCAGGCGGCGGCATTCAGTCAGTCATGCAAAAATGTTTGCCGTGCACAGAGTGCGAAATACTAAAAACGGCAGCGTGGAGTGTGGAGTCTTCAGATTGGGGGAGGTGCAAGGGGGAGGGCGGAGTGCGGGCAGCGGATGCGGAGGCACAGGCCGCAAAAACACATATACATATATATTCCAGCGAGCAAAAGCAATTTCTGGCGGCAGCTATAGCTTTGCTGCAGGCAGCAGTCGGCAGGCAGACAAGAGACCAGAAGACCAGAGACCAACCAAGCCAAGCCAAGCCACGCCAGGCCAGACAAATAATGCGTCACGTTGCGCAGTCGTTAAATTTTCGTTTTCGTCGTTGCCGTTGCCGTTTTTATGGGCAAAAACTGCCGGCGACAGTGTGTTGTTGTGTTAGGTGAGGGTAGGGCTATAAGAGGGGTGAAAACGGGGGTGAAAAGCGGACTGAAAAGCTGGCCCAGCTGCTGTCGAGGTGCTTTGGTAGCTCCTCTGCTGGTAGCCAAGAATTTCACAAGTTTCGACCCGCCGTGGAAAGTTATGAGGCCTCACACACACACAATCATTCAGACTGGAAGCTGTGTGGCTACAAAATTGGCAACTGAAGTGGACCAACACTGGGGATTTGGCAATCATTTCCTCAACTTTGATTTCCCGCTGCTTATCAGCGAGTGAGGAAAACGAGATAAGAAACATGGCTTCAGCTTCACTACTATTTATAGGTCAGATCTTGCATAAAGGCGATGTATTGATCGAGTGTGAATACAGAACGCTGGAAATCTTCTGGATGCTCCCTATTTCTCTCTTTTTGCACTTAACCCATGGAACCAAAAATTAGCATTTCTAATTTATGTACATATAATTTTAAAAAAAAATGTAGATTAAAAAATACTGTTTATAAAATTTTTGGTTAAAAATTTGATAACAATTTAAAAACCTAAGCGTAGTCATTTTAAAACTAATTATTTTAATAGTTTAGAGTAACTTACATGTAATCAAAAAGAACAAAAGGAATTTGCTTATAAAAGTTAATATAAAATCATCAAATTAAAAAAGAGTATTTACAACTTCACATTTTTTTTTTATAAATGTTAGTTAAAAGTTAAATTTTGTTTCCTAACATTTAAGATTTACTGCTAATTATTATAACACTTTTAAGCAGTGTCACAGAAATCTTAAAACAGATTTATTAAATATTTTTTAATAAATATTCTGTAATGGGTTAAATAATGTTCTGCCTATATCCGCTCACGCACTTTTAACTCTTGGTATTCTTCACACTCCATCGACTTTAAAATCTAGCTGTTTCCTTTTACACCCTCCTTTTGATTTACATTTTGTTCTTTCCTCTTTTCCTCGGTTTTAAATTCTCCATCCATATTCTCAACTTTAAACTTTACCAATGTTTAACTGTAGAATCCTACTCTATTCAGCCTAAAACTATCGTTTTCCCCTTTCCCACCAAAACTTTAGTTTTTTATCAATGCCCCCCTCATCCCGCTTCAACTGTCATTGAAATTAGCACACGAATAAAGAGCAAAGGAAAAGTCCTTATAGGCTGATCAGGGGGGCAAGAGAATAAACTATATAGTTGCTCTATAAAATCAATAGAAACGCACTCGCTCATACACATATGCAAAATTAGCGCGCCAGGAGTCGCAACTAACGGGATTTGTGGGTGGTACAATGGCTCAGTGGTTCAGTGGGTGTTCGTCGTGTGTTACCGCCAAACTTTATAATAATCGAAAAGTTTTTGTGCGCTCGGACAGCGCCGGCCCGTATATATTCCGTTATGTCCCGAGAGCGTTTTCACGAGCGAGAAATGCCGAAACCGAAACTGCGGAATTGCGAATTCCCGAACCAAAATGCGAACCACTGCTGATTGCAGTCAGCTTACAACTGAAATTGAAAATTCAGCAGAGCAAAGTGCGAAGCGCCGCTGCTGCTGCTGTCGCGGCGTTGTAGCTGTTGTTGCTGCCGTTGACGCGCCGCCACCGCTGCCGCACACAGACCGCTCTGCCCCTCCTCCGCTCTCCTCCCCCCTACTCACCCGCTGCTATTTGCCACTGCGACAGGCTGCAGCCATCAGCCGAGAGCCATGGGCCATGAGCCATGAGCAGGCCGTGTTCAGACCCAGGCCCAGTCGCAGTCGTAGACCCAATCCCATTCCCACTCCGAATCCCAATCCCCGGCCAGGTCCACAAGCCCCAAAAGCCAAGCGAGCCAGCCAACAAAACGTGCCAACTAGCGGCGGCAGCTGAAACGACGCCAGCCAAACAGCCAAGCAGCAGCAGGCAGGCAAAATAATATGGAAAAAAAAAGTACAAAAGGCTGGCTAGGGGAGAACGAAAATGGTAATACACTTTCCGCGAATAACTGGTTGCTTATCTCTAAGTTGAGTTTAAAAACTATAAATATCTGTTTGAACAGGGTTAATATCAGATATATTCTATTGATATTCTAATGATACATAGAATATTGTACATATTTACGTTTGTGAATACAAACATATGTATTATATATGTATATGTATATGTATATTGAATAATATGTACGTACACATGCTGAACGGCTGCCGGTTCATCGTGTACAACCAGCTTCAGTGTGGTGTCCACAAATTAAAAACATCGTGAAACTAATTTGATTCAACTCATTTTGAACTTGGTAGTTATAGAAGTTGGAAAGCTAAGATACATACATATATTGAATTAAAGAATTTTTTTTTTTTGGAATTTTGATTGCTATATTGACTTAAACGGAAATGGGGTTAAAACACCAGGTTTGGTGATCAGAAAATATCTAGATCTTGGTTATATTTATTAACTAATGATTTGAAAAAATGTAAGCGTACTTTGGAGAGCTTTTTATCAAAAAGTAGTTTAGATTTAATTTTTTAACGCCTTTCTGATCTAGTGTAAAAAAAAAAACAATGTTACATGTTGATCTCAAAGGGAGGTTTCGAGTTCCAAACATGATCCAGTAGCATCCTTTCCTAAAAAGTCTTATTAATTTCTTTCGAGATTCGATGGAACAAGGAACCTCCTTTCCAACTCGAAGTACTCAAAAAAGAGAGAGTATGAGAAGCGCACACTGAAACGCAAAAAACGCCAGCGAGGAGGCCCAGGCCATCCAGTGGGAGGGTCAGGAGTGGAGAGCAGGGAAAGGAGAGGAGAGCAGGGAGCAGAGCAGTCAGCAGGCTGGCAGTTCAGTTTAGTTTCAGGCGAGAGCCAAAGCCACGCCACAAGCTTTTGCTTTTGCCGGCGCGACACATACATACATACATACATACATATATGCTTAATGTATGTGTGCAGCAGGGGGAGGTGGAGAAGCGCGCACAAACGCTAAAAACGGCCGCCGCCATTTGCTTCGCTCTGCTCGCTGCTCCCCGTGTTGTTGCTTTTGCTGTTGCCGTTGTTGGTGCTGCTTTTGGGCATATTATTGCCGGCTATCCAGCACACGCACACTCACACACACCCATGGCCACACAAATACATGCGAGTGAGAGCCAGCCGTGCTGTCTGTGTGAGGTGGAGCCGGTGGCCTGCTCTTCTCTGCTCCTCTTCCTCCCAACTCTTCCCCCTTCCCTACGTCCTTCTTTCCTCCTGGTCTCTCCCATTCTCTTCCCCCTGCTCTTCCTTCTTCTTTCCTCCTGCCTACTGCATGCGCAGCCAACAACAATCAACGCGCGGAAGCGAGCGAGCGAAAAGCATAAACCATGAAGAGAGGGAGGGGGAGGTGGGGCCGAAGAGAGGAGGCTCGTTAAAATCACGCGACAGGAGGCAGCAAAAGCGGCAGAAGAAGAAGAACCAACGGGGGCGGTGCAACAAACGCCGGGCAAAGCGAATCGATGTGAATTTGGCTGTGGCTCCACGGCTACCGCTCTTCTTCTTTGCTCTGCGCTCTCTCCGCTTCTCACTTCCTCTTCTTCTGGCGCCTGTCGCTCAGACACCATAAGTGTGAGGTGGGTGGCGGGTTGGCGAGGTTGTAATATAACGCTATATAATAAGGGGCAAGTGCGATTGGGCAGCAGCTTCGAATTTAATTTCTTACAATTAAGCAGACTTGTGCCCATAGTTACACAATCGCCGTTAGCTTCTTCATTGGATCCAACAGCGTTTTCTATGCTATCTGTATATGGACTTACTTCATGTTTTATACGCACGATTTAATCAGGTATACATACATATGTATGTTTGCTAGTTTCAATTTTTTTAAATGATATTTATTTTTTAAATTTATTTATTGATATGGTGAAGTTTAAGATTAAAATAACTACCGTTAATTGAACCCAGTATCTTCGAATAATTATTTATAAAATTTAAGACAAATTGCATAACAGTGCTCTTGGTTATATTATCTTTTTTTATTATCAACAGATAAAAGTCTAAGATATAAAACAATAAATACGTTTTTTTTTAAGACAAATGGAAGAAAAATGTTTCTATGCATACAAAGAACAAAGATTCTCGAACATGGGGAGAAGGCTAATTTATCAAACTGCTACTGTGCTCCGTAATTTCCTTTCTGCCCGACGTAATTACTTTAAGCGATTTGTAAGCTATGCTTAAAGTTATGGCAAGTGGGCAAACTTTTGACCAGACGCAAGATTGAAGCTTATGAAGCCATAGAACACACACGCATACAGCGACACGTGCGGGTCCATCAGTAAACTGTATTAGTGTGTGCGTGTGACAGCAAATGAGGGGGCGGAACGGTGGGAGGCGGGACTGAAGAGGCGTAGATGGGTGGCAGCCACTCAACCTCAGACGCCAGCAACGCGTAGCAACGGTCACATCCTGCTGGCAAGCTGGTGAGCTGGAGAGTTGGAGAGCCGCCACCAAATGGTATTTTCCATTTAATTTTTGCACACTCACACACAGACAAAAGCTCGCACACGCGGACCATATGTATATGAGCACAGTCGGGCTTCTACTAAAATATTTATTATTATAAAGTTTTCTTTAACTGTTTGTTCTCTGTATAATAAACATCGATATTTCCGACCAAATTTTTATGAAAATTAGTTGTGTTCCCTTCCCCTTTTAAGCTTACCAAATTCTGTCTCATAATGGTAAAAAATTATACGGCTTTTGGATTTTTAGAGGTGCCCATGCTTAGACATCGCAATCTTTTCGCAAAGACGTTTTCAACACTTTGAATTTGGGTTTTAAATTGTCAAGAAATAACAATACAAAAAAAATGCGCCTTAGGGTATGCAATTTGGTTTGTAACAAAGCAGTGAAATTACCTATAGCTTAAAGTTGTCTTGCTAAATTGAATAACAACTATGGAAAAATGCTTTTTAAAAGTAGTGGGTCATGTGCGTCAGTTTAAGGTTCTCGTTAGCAGGGTATCACCGTATATCGCTGCACACGCACAAGGCGGAGCAGGAGCGTGAGTTTAAAAAGAGGAAGAGGAGCCAGGCAGAGGTGGCAGCAGAAACAACCACAACAACACGGCAGCAGCAGCAGAGGCCCAAAGCATTATTGTCGTCGCGAAACGTGAGCGTAACGAATGCGCAAGCAGAAATCCAGCAACAAAGCAAATGCAGGCCGATGGAAGGAGGAAGTGGGAGGAGCGGCAGAGGGGGCGGCAGTTAATGGCGCACAGGCAAAGAGCAACAGCTGCTAACGATGTTGACGCGCCGATGACGGCCACACAACCAAATGGGCAGACAGAAAGAGCGAAAGAGAGAGCGGAGAGCAGAGGAGCTTGGCTCTTTTATGGCTAAAAACGCTAATGTGACCGATGGAGCGGTGGGCGGGAAGCAGGGTGCCATGACGGAGCGCAAAGCACGCGAAAAGCCCAAGCAACAACAAAGCACTCACCAGCTAGAAGAAGACACCCTCAGAAGATGGAACGTTCCAGCGGCCAATATGGCGACCCTTGCCATTTCCCACTCCAATCTTCAATCTCCCCCCTTCCCCACTCCCACTCACCCTACCGAAATTAACGCAAAACAAATGAAGCACACGCATGTGCCGCAGTCGACGCTGACGTCGACGTCGACAGTGTACTCAAACTCACAACAAAAACAGCAACGAGTCGGGCAACAACACAATAACAAATGAGCAGAATTGCATTTTGTGCAATTCGACCCCCAAAAAGTGAAGCTGGGCGCAAAAATGCAAATGACAGGAGGCAGACGGTAATCCCCTGTGAAATGTGGGGTCAGCGGAAGGGTGGCTTGTGGGGGGACATGAACGAAAGGCTATCCGCTCTTTCAACTCATTGAAGTTTTATGGGCCTACATACTCCAATTAATCTGAGTCATAATTGAACAGGTAAAAATAAATATATAAATATAATCTAACTTACAGTGAAATAATAAAAATGTTTAATTTAACAATTAACAAAATTCAACGTTTTTTAACGACACTATCAATATTTACAGTTATAACAAACATGTATTTTTATATAAGAAGCATATATGTACGTAAGTAAAAATATATAAAAATATTTACATACATAATGGCAAAAGAACTAGAATATCATGTAACAACAATTCACTCAATTATCCCAAAGTAATCCTTAAGTAATCTCAATGAACAAATAAAACGTTATCATTTTCTAACTAAAAACACGATTTTAGCTTTTTGATTAATTTATAAAAATATCAAATCACACGTGTAGAGCGGCCTCACAAACTGTGCAGGTCAACTCTACGTCGCAAACTGACGCCCACCACCCAAAAACACACACACCAAACAAACAAACGCATCGTAATTGCATTGGCACGTTGCATAAATATGTAAGTTTGTGTGTGTCGCTGCTGCAGTTTATTCATTTTTCGTTGTTGTTCTCGCTTGCGCCAGTTTGGTGAAGTTCTTTTTTGGGAAAAGAGGGTCGGATGTGGGAAAGTTTGGGGAGAGAAT